TCAAATCACAAGACGATGTCATATTGAGTTGAACACAAAAGAAGTCGCCCCAAGGGAACGGATACAAATTGATGTATTGATGCGATCAAATCTGTCACAAACTGCCTTCCATATTCTGCCATTTAGCAGGAAACAAGATAATAACTACGTTTACTTGGATTAAATATACCCAGTAAGAGCTGGCGAATCTTTCAATTCAGGCCTTTTACCGGTCATTAAGTCATATTAAACTCAATTATTTCACTAATAGATGTAATTTGACAAATTTTCTTCTATTTTGTCAATTTACAGGCTTTTATCTCCTTTTGCTATGTCATACGGCCTACGTTTCATTCTCGTCTTCAAGACGTCAGCTATTCGCGTGCCTCTGGCTGGTTCCTTTTCAAGACAAATTAAGCTACGTTTTAACAATCGCAACTTCAAGTTTAATTTGCTTAAAACTGTGTTTTTATTGGAGGTTGTTGGTTTGGGTGAAAGATAGAACTCACGATATTTAAAATGGACGAATTATTAAAATCCAAAGGTTCTTAAACACATAGTTTAGTTTTTAAATTTTTGGTCATTAAAATTCAAAAGAATGAAAATTGGTTTAACAAATGTACTGTCGAAGAATACTTAGTCTGCATTAAATGCATGACAAATATTGCGAGAAAAAATTTAAACGGCAATAATAATTGTCCCTCAGAAATATATAGAATCTACTACCCACTCAAAGTTATTTGGGGTAAGATCTGACAGATTTTCGATAAAGTATGATGATATGAGAAGTGCACAATTTTCGAAGACACGTGTTAATATGTTGCCAATATCATAAACAAATGAAAATATAAGTTCTTAAAACTGTGACAGCTTGAAATAAGTGGAAAATCCAAAAATTATCTTACAATATTAACGAAAAATGAAAATTGAACAAATGGATAAAGAATTTCGACACAATTTTCGTTATTTTGAAGCTGTCGCAACTCCTCCTTTAAATGATTTGTAAAGAGTCTCTATAAATGAGGACGAATAAGTATTTAATAGGATGGATATCCAAAATAATTATACACACTCCAAAATAACGCAGTTTTTGTTAAAATACAAAAATCCCGACTCCATGGTTCCTGTAGAACTTCCTGCGTGCCATTAAGAAGAAGACGTTACTTCCGACAAGAAAGTTGAGGTAATGTTCGTGATTATTCGCTGATAGACACATAATTAGCCTCACATTATCAACCCTCAACACAAATTGTCAGACTCAATTTTCTTCTGTAATGTGTTTAAATGGTTGTCATCTCGACTCATTTAGATAAATACAAATAATTATAGTTAACAAAAATTGCAAGTATAACTTTTTCTAGACGATCAGTTTCTGATACTGCCAAAAATGGAGGCAAATTCTCACTTCTTACATTTCTTTCATCAACTTTTATTTTACTTTAATTGGTCGATACATGTATCTGTCTACGTCTGCAACAGGTGCAAACAACAATTGATACTTCTAGAAATTAACTGAATGAGGATGATGGTTCTAATCTATTTTTTTGTTCAGTTTATTTTGAAGCACATCAAAATATAAATTATAGTGACCAATTTACAAGTAGTTCTGAAATGTACTTTTTCACCGAGTCCAAATGGTCTTGCTTTGACCCTTGAACCGATAATATCAACATTTGAAATAACCTACTAAAACTTGACTGACGGTAAAATGATAGCTGCGAAACGAATTCAAGAATTTTCTCGGCTTTTTTCAAATTTTAGTTTTTGTATAGGCTATATATTATGGCCCACCAATTTTTTGCTTTAGCGGTTGATAAACTTAACCCTATCTGGACACTCTCCATAAAACACTCGGACTTTGATTTGTATGCAGTTAAATAGAAATGCTTTTAGACTAAGTTATGGCGTCGAGAAAACTAATAACGGCCTGTGAAGAATGGCAACGACACTTCCAACATTATATTTCTTTGTGAAAAAACTTCGTCAATCTGAAAATCACTAATTTTAAACGTTATAGAGATTTACTGTAGTACTAGTAGTATTTTCTGTACAAGAGGATTTATAGGAAACTTATATCATAAGTAATAGTTTTAAAATCTTGTCTTTAACGGTTCAGACAAAGTTAAGAAATACAGATTCCAGAATTTCTTCAAATGTCATCTTTTAATGTTTTTTTCGACTTGAAAACTAACTGACTGATATGACATCGAATGGCAACAGACGATCTTATTGGTCGAGCAATGACAATGTCTATTGTATTTACATAAAAGGCTCCACCCACTATGCCACTTGTCATTGTCAATAACTAAATTAAGCCTTCTCGATGTTAATGTAATATTGATTCTAATAGGATGAAGTAGAAAGGGGTGTTTACTAAAAGTAATTGAAAGATATGTCAATAGAATTGTTAGTCTTGTCAACATTATATCACTTTGATGTAGCGATCTGTTGTTATTTCTATTGTCATTGACAGCAAAAGAACATCAACTTATCGTCAGTCAAAAGTCAATATTAGTATAATAATTGTGTGAACTTAGATTTGGATAATATTTCATAATTTGTAAGTTCAAAAATTTTAATAATTTTTTTATTTAAATATTGTATTATTTTTGAAAAAAGAACTGAAGCCAATCAAAAACCTGAAAAAAAATCATAGTTAGTATTCATTTTATTCTTTTTATTACAGAATTCTGTGATTCCTGTAGCAGCAGAAATGAATCTATCAACATTTTCTGAAAATAACAATGCCAGATCAACATCGTTTCTGATAGAAGATATTCTGCTAAATAAACCCAAACATCTAGCCAGAGATTTAAATAATTTGGCCAATTTAAACCGATTGAATTATCCTGAATATGGTTATTGTTTTCCTGGTGGACCAGCGTTTTATACTCATCCATTCCTGGCACATAGTGCCGCTGCAGGATTCCTGCCAAAACATCCTGTAGATCATCCTGCTTTCCTGATTCCTACAGCCGGTAAGTTTCTAATATTTGCATTATAAATAGAATATTTGGGGCCCTTTAGAGCCAACAAAATTAAAATGTATATACATTTTTTGAAATTTATTATCTCTGTTAAAAATGAATAGGTAGGTCTGTTTTCTTATTTGTAGCTTCTGAAGAAAAAGAAAAAAATTCGGGTCTAACATAATGTTTCGTTTTCCGTTTTGCCAATTTCGTGCTTTAAAGGTGATTGGAAGCAATAGTACTATGTAATAAGTGAGTCAAGAGTGAAAAAAAAAAACAGGATCATCATATAATCGGAAAATCATTAGGTTTATCTCGGGTTTTGTGGCGATTTAAAACTGATTTAAAAAATGAAAAATTTGTAGAAATGTTAATTACTGAAGAAATGAAACAAAAAGATTTTCAAGACATGCGTTTAAAAACCTATAGTGGGCAATTCTTCGGCATGACATAAGCTTCTAACATAACAATATTTGTGCATTATTTTGTTAGCTTTATCATATAAGTCAAACCACCCGGATTAAAAAAAAGTTGATCATACGGTTTTTTGTACATGTTGTAAAGGTTGTTGTGTTCTAGTGAGGCAAGTGTCTTAATTATATTCTTAATTAAATAACCTATCTTTATCTAAAATAATCTAGTTTAATTCTTTATCGAGTGAAATTTTCATATCGGTAAGTAAATAACAGGGGAGGGTAGGCCCTATAATATATATCCTGCAATATAGGTAATAGCGGCGACTTTGATGTTGTGAATTATTGGACAATATATACCAATAAAACACATTTTGTAGGGTGTATATTTGAATGGTATAAAGGCAATAAATAAACAATACTGATTTTTTATCCTCTTATATTAAAACAGTAGTGAGTCTTGTTTAACAAGATCGCATCAATTTACAACCGATACATCATCAAATAAATAACATCATAAAAATACAATTGTCAATGACTTAATCAAGTGACCCTTCAATGAGTAGTGGAACGTGTAAACGTATTTATTTTCCTAATTAATGAGGCGACAATATATAAGCACACGAACAAATGATACGATTGTCGATCGTTAAGGACTTTACAAGTACATAAAGAGGATTTGTTATGGTTTAATGAATTACGACACCAGACAGACGGATTGCAATTGGGAGGGAGAGATATAGGCAATTGAGTTGGCTAGAGAGGCGGGGTTTTTATCATTTGTATAACACCATATATACTGACTTCCGTAAAGATCAATGTATACTTATATCTAATAAACTTATTATTGCCTAGATCAAAGACTTATATCAGAGTACCGCCGGTTATTAACTTTCATTACTAATAGTATTAATTTTTGGTTCACATGATTTACTATAATGATATAGTCGAACAGTGGGTTATAATTATTCGGTTACACCATAGAACTATACACATACAGAAATCGATCACCTGAACTACGGGAGATATAGGAGATTTTCAGCACCTATCATTATGATTAAAAAAATTTAATCTATTTTTATTCGGCGAAATTTGAAAGACTCAATGCTACAAAATACAAAAATAATATAAGTATAAAGAAATTCAACAGATATACCAAGAACCATGTAAATCAATCTCATGAAAACATAATGCAAGAAATAATACAAAAAATTTCAAATTTTGTTTGAAAAAAAATGGTGCTATTTCCTATAGACATCCATATATAACAATAAATAACCTAAAGAAATAATTTGTTTTATTTGCATAGGGTTATGGGAAATTAATTTTTTTGTTTCAAAAAATATATAATAAAAATACAACAAATCTTGAAACCATCAAGTTTCTTTTTGGCCAAAATTTTCTAAAGCCTTTAAAAGATAATTTTTCTTTTTGCAACATGAATATTTTAAAATTATGTTAAAAATATTAATATTATATGGAATTTTATCATTTTTTAGCATTTGGCCTACAAAACAAAATAACTTAACAAACTATTCGTCTTGACACAAGTAATTATATATTATTTTCTTTTGAATTTACAGGAATTCCATTGGCACCACTGTTCCAACACGACAGTCCCGGTAAACATTGTAGAAGAAGAAAAGCTAGAACTGTTTTCAGTGATCATCAATTAAATGGACTAGAAAAACGATTTGAAACACAGAAATATTTATCAACCCCAGAACGAATGGAACTAGCTTCACAACTTAGTCTATCAGAAACACAGGTAGGCATTCTTAAAACTTTACTGAAAAACATTACATAAAAATCTTGGAGCAAATCTGAAAACAGTCAGGACACGATGTCAAACCGTCATCAAAAACTTTTTCCTTTCCCTAGTAAATTTCATGCCGATTCCTAGATGTTGCATGCTTTTTCGAAGTTAATTCACACGATTTGTACGTGGATGCCCCATCTCGATAATATGTTCTATAATATATTTCAAATTATTCTTTCAGGTTAAGACATGGTTCCAAAACAGACGAATGAAACAAAAGAAAGGGCAAAGAAAATCTCAGACGGACACTCTAGACTGTGGTGATCTGGAGTGTGCAGATTTAAACACTAGTGCTTCTTCACCTGAAGAAAGTTTTGAAAGTGCAGGACATTCATGTGAATCCAACAGACTCTATTCTAGAGAAGGATATACGTCATATCCAGGATCAGAAATCGAGGATTCAGAAGAAATCAATGTTGTTGATACTGACGCAGAACATCTATCAGCTTCCAGACCATCAGCATCATCATCAGCGTCTTCCTTATCAACGTCAATATCATAGGTGTGATTCATCTTAATATTCAAGACTTAATAATTCTGTTCCCCAACAGAAGCTTTGTGGTCAATTTCAATGGTGAAAGTTTCACCCAGCCAAAAAATATGACTACAGGATGTATATGGGTTCCTTAAACTATACAAGCCAGTTTGCGAAAGTCATTCCAGATGGAAAAATTGATAAGTAGGCCTAATGTCTATGCCATTAAACTGATATATTCCTCATTACGCAACTGACTATTCAAACTTGCTCAAAATGAATGGTCACATGTTCTGGAAATCTACCGTATTCTGTGGATAGATGTAGATTGCAAATGAATGATGTACATGTAGTTCTATTGTTCAGTTGTAATTATAATAGTTAACTGAATAGCTAAGGGAAATACGTTGTTATCGAGTCATTTTTTCATTTTTAATATTGTCTTATTTTGTCGTTATTTATAAATAAACTTTTATTGAAGTCGAACAAAGTGTGAATTACTCCTAGCCGAGGTTCTTAACCACTGTATGGAATATCATACAAGTTTATGGACATGGCAGTCGAAATGTGGCAAATGCTTCCAGAGGGTGAACATGCACAATATCTTAGCTTTTGGGATTTTAAAGATTAAGCTGTGAAGTCAGTCTTGGATCCGTCGCAGTCAAGGGCTTATATCAACCGTCGACGACGAGATCCAATTTGTGTGCAAAAAAAACACGGTCATCTGATGAAAGCTGACAACTAAAATCAAACGATTGTTCAGATTCTCCCAGGTACCAAGTTCAAAATGCAGTTGCTCTCAGATCGCATTCTTGAACTACTTTAGCTGAAGAATCACTTCAGGAACTTACATGCTTTGGTGAGCGAGAGAAAAATAGTTTGGACCATGTGTGATCAGCTCAAACGAACAAAATACAATTTCAATTTACTTTCGTGCTGTTTAATCCAATTAGGCCCTAGCGCAACGAAGAATTAGGCTATGCCACGGTCAAGGGAGGTAATAAATTGTATAGTATGTAGGTATTGTGCAACAATGGCAGGTGTGGTCCAGGGCAGGGTGTGCTTACTCTTCTGGACACTTATTTAAATGATGCCACTTTTCAATATAAAGTGCTTCCCCGTTGTCTCGCGAGTTTACAACATTTCTTATCATTATTATTACTCTTGTGATCGGTTCCCTCTCTTGAACTGTTAAAATTATATAAAAATAGTATCATCAGTTACCTCCCTTGAGGAGTTACAAGATTTTGTGTTTTGTTTGGTATTTACCTTCCTGTTTGTCGTGTAGCTTGAGCAGCATTGGTGGATGCACCAGGAGGGGTTTGTTAACTATTCTAGACACCCGATACTACTTTTTATTATGAAATATATATATGATGAGTTGCCACCAGCTGATCCTATAATTTTACATCACACGAGGTTTGGTTTTGCCTCCCTATTTTATATGTAGCAACTTTCTCTCTCTCTTCTGATCTCCGGCTGCCATTTTCATCATTAAATGATTCTTCCTCATGGATGTGGATGTTTGCAACATTTTTTCTTATCATAATAAATAATAACAATTAAATTGTGATCAGTTCCTTCCCTTGATATTTTAAATAAATACTTTTTCACCAGTTACGTCCCTTGAATTTTTAAAATTCGCCAGTCAAACATAGAATTGTATGCTGAAGTCGCTATTATTATGTTGTTGGCGTTCCAATTTGTAGTGTTTGTTGAGCCAATAATATGTTGTTTTGAATTTCGGGTTTCGTTTTGAGGTTCTGGTCGTCAGTAGACGGTAGTATTTATTTAAGGGAGGTAATCTTCAACCAAATTTTAATCAGATCGTTATTACAACTTTTAGTCCGACAAGTTTGTTTGAATGAATGCAGGCTTATAAGTATCCATTTTAGTTACCTATTCAGGGTAGAGATAACTATTTTGGTAATTATATTTCTTACAAGTATGGTGGCAAAAAAATAAAAATTGGTATATAAAGTTGATCGCATGATTGAAGACAGTTTTTCTTCAACGTCATCCCTTCATATCTTCCTAATGATAATTCAATAATGGCCATACCTTGGAAGTTAATTTCCAAGGATGGCTGATTTAACTACATCATTGTATATCTACTACATCTTTTAACCTTCACAAATGTTTAATCACTGAGATGATATTTACAGTATAATATATGCTATAATATACAAATACACACACGAATACACAAAAAAAGATCATCTTGATGCATGGAATATAACGAAGGCCTACTTCAACAATTATTTTGAAATGAACTAAAATCCTGTAAAGGAATTCAACATTGATTTTCGATGTCTCCATATACAAAATCATAAGGCCTACGCTGTACATTGAAATTTTTAGTCTTCCTATAACAAATGACAATCAAACTTGTTCACTGGGTACTTTTGCTATTTGTCTTTCTGTAAGTTCCATATCATCTCGTACAGGAAGTATGGTAGCTCTAGCTTCGTCATCAGCACCTTCATTGGTGTAAACTGAGATATATTTACCCTGTCTGGGATGACACGAGGTACATTTACCTTTATATTTCCACACCAGATAAATCATTACACCAATACTTAAACAACATAGAGCTAACACTACTCCTATTAATATATACATAAAAGAACGAGGACATTTTAAATCCAATGGATGTAGTTCTTGTAATCGACGTCCTTCGAACTTAGTAGGAGCGTGGCACCTGAAAAATATTGTATGAGTACTAATACATTTTTGTAGTACATATAGCCCACATGAATATATGTGTAATTTTTACAGACATGGAAGATTGCAGACTGTTTTCAGTCGTCGGTGCACTCATGTTGACCAAATCAAGCGATTGGTCAGATACTAGATCAAATTATAATGTGCCACTTGAAATGAGTTTTACGTACTATTATACTTTCCTATGCATGATTATCTAATGAGTTGGAAAATATTATACAGTCTGTAGTCGATGCACCATTGTTTACTACCCAATCCAAACGACTTGACACCCTCCAGATCAGTCCCTCCAACCAGCAACACACATACAATAGAATACTTACGTGAGTGTAGTGTTAATTTCATGAAGAGTCACCAACCATTTGAGGTGACAGTCACAATTCCATGGATTTCCAGACCACTTTAATTCTTTCAACTGTTTCCAAGGAAAAGTATTATGATATATCGTTTCTAAATGATTTTCACTGATGTAAACGAACTGTAGATTTGAGAAACTGTCTTTAAAGGCATACTCTGATATAGAGTTCAAACTTGGATTTCCACGTAGATAAATAGATTTCAGATGAGGAAACATTTTGGTGGCTCGAGATCCAACTGATTTCAAACGTGGTAACTCTTCAAGTCTCAGGATTTCAATGTTTGTCGTTAACCCAGAATCCACTTCTCCAATAGAGTTGAACAGGTTACCACTTAAATCCAGTTCCTTCAAATATTTTTTCAGGTACTCGAATGTCTGATAAGGCATGTCGCCCAATTTGTTATTCCGTAGAGACATGGATTCTAGTCTATCTAATCCTTCAAACGCTCCAATTTGAAGATGAAATATCGTGTTGGAGGATAAATTCAAGTTTTGAAGAGCTAATAATGCATGGAATGTTAGATTGTTAATTTCAGTCAACTGATTGTTGCTTAAATCCAAATCGTGTAAGAAATTTAAACCATTGAACTGCCATTTATTCAATTCTGTCAAACTGTTCGAACTTAGATTCAATGTGTCGATATATAAATGATTCAAAGCATTGTTTTCTATGATTTTTATCTGGCATTGAGAAATATCCAAAAATTTCAGGTTATTAAGATCTGAAAACAAGAATGAAGTGTCTTTGATAATTTCCAATGGGTTGCCGCGCAGGTTTAATTTTTGAAGTTTGTGTAGACCTTGAAAAGTCTTTGCTGTGATTTTCTCACCACTGAATTTATTAAATGATAAATCCAATACACGAAGACAATGAAGGGATTGGAAGACATCATCTGGTACGGCTTCAATCTTATTATGGTGAAGATATAACTCCCGTAAATTACCAGATTTCGAACAATCTAATGGTAGTTCAGCATCTTGTATAATAGCTGGTAGTTCTTGAATAAGATTATGACTATAATCCATGATAGTAATGTGAAAAGGAATGTGTGTTTCAGGAAAGCTGAAGTCACCGACATCAGAACAGTTCCATATAGTCTTTCCTTCCAGTTCCCTATGATTGCAGTCTATCTCCATCTCTGTTTCCGAGGTCGTTATTTGTCCGATGAGGGCTAATATGAGAACGGGAAGTATACAGCAAGCCACAGCCATTTTGATGATATACTGGTTTCCTAACAAATCTGTAACAAATTTAACATCTAATTAATCTAATACATTGAAACATCAAACATCAAGACGAGAATTGTGTTTCAAATGCTAAGTCTTAAATAGCCAATTATCTTTGCAAACATGCATCGAATATAAAGAAAAAATGCATCTGCTTAGCAATTTTCAATGAATTCCATGAATTCCATAAATTTAAAATATCTGTCTTGACAAAAGCAAGAATAAAGTCGCACAAATATTTGCTTAAAAATGAAACTTACATGATAGAGAAGATCTATTCCTGAGCGTTTTTGAGAACCAAAAAATGGCCACCGAAGATGAAGTACGGTAAAAGCCACGTCATTTTTGATGGACTTTACTCCATGAATGATGGGTTAAATATACTTATTAACATGTATTTCATTATTATCATCTTCACTGTAGATAATCAAAGATAATCAAATACAAATATCAGTCATTATCTCTGTTATCTTATAATATTACTCAATTTATACGGACCTAATATAATGATATGTACACAGAGTTTCTCAAAACCTAATTACTATGGAAACAGTGAAATCTGAATGTTATTTAAACAATGATGTATAGATATACATTTTAAACCATGTCGTGATCACAACATAAGTTATAAATATAAAGATAAAGCAAGAAGTCTTGTAATACTTGCTATCAATGCTATCAAACAGTAGAACTGGATTTAAGTCATCCTCAGCACTTCGAAGTATTAAAATAACACTAAGTCTTTTCTTCCAACCTTGATAATAACATAATGCAAATGTTTTAACCATTTCATTTTCTGGTTTGAATGATAATGACCACAAGTTATTCTAAAGCAGTTGGTTCCAATTTAATTGTAGGCTAGTCCAACTTTAGATTTTTATTCTGAAACACTTTAACTTCTTCCCATGCTGACCATAGAAACTAAAACAATTACTTGGCTTTTGCAATGCCAAGGGAGATAATTCACTTTTGTTCAAAACTGCTCATTGATCTTTCAGGCCTTTTAATCACAAACACTGGTTTTCCTCTGATATCAATAATTACTTTCTGTCAGATACAGACATCACTGTCAAGTTAAGTTTTCAGCCAATGCAGAACCATGACCTCATAGAGCTAATCCACCAACAGTGAAGACGGATAATAAAAATAAAGAAGAATCATGTTTAAATATGGATACATTCATATCACCTTTTATTGGATTATAATATACATAATAATAATCATAATGGTATGCCTGTATTATGTGGATTGAATGACATAATACTGTCATTTCATAATTAACAATGATATCAAGGGCCAGAACTCTGCATTCATTTAATCACTTAATTTTTTTCCCCATATTTGTGTAATTAAATTTAACATGTGAAATCTTAAGTAGTATTTAAATAGATTCAGTGATGCCAAATATCATCTAGTAAGCTATACAATTTTAATAGCTAAATGGTAATCAAGATTTTGAGTGAAGAAGAGTTCTGGCCCTTGTTTTAATCTATTTACAGATTCAAGTGACAAGAATGGCCAACACAATATCAGACATTCTACATTATATTTTAATAACAATATTTATACAATTATTATTCTAATATACAATTCTATATACAAAATAAAACATGGAATTATTTCATTTTACAGGGATAAGTCCATGCAAGTCCCTAACTTACTAGAAAGATTTCAGCAGATGTTATTTTTGGACTGAAATTAAACTAGCTAAAGTTGTACTTATGTAAATATTTTCTGTCAGGGAGTTTCTTGGAATTATAAGGTCAAATGTACTTATATGGACAAAAAAGAGAGATTATTACCATAGTGATCTAAGTCTTGTGTACATAATGTAACTCAAATATAACATATATATAATATAATATATGGAGAAGTTCTGTGCATTAAAATGTTGAATACTCAAACTAATTCTGTGAATTTCTGTAAAATATTAAATGTAAAACTAATCAAATCAAATTAACCACAAAATATTGCACAAATACACAATAAGAGTTTTAATGGGACATAAAACCATTTTTGAAAATTGAAATTCCCTTTGGAATCAAAAGAAACAAAATGACAAGCAAACTATTGGAAAATGTCTCGAAATTTTCTTAAACATGAATATATTCAAAATAAAAAACAGGGAAGAAAGTTCAAATCACAGAAAGCTAAAAGTTACAAATATACAGCCCATGTTAAGTCTGTTATCTCACTTTTATATAACTCAAATTATTTTTCCCATTTTATATTTTCTGCTGTTTAAACAAAGCACTTTCCAAACTGATCATCACAACCATAATTATAAACAAGCAAAAAGCACAATGGATTATTTTGTATAATATACATAAACATATTTTGGCTTAATATCTTAAGTCATACAAACATACTAGCATATTACATCTTATCTTATATATCTTTCTCAATATTTTCTCTGGATTTATCAGTTTCATATCATTCACTACATCATTAAATTAACTGTTAAAATTGATCAAGTAGGGGATTGTGATTTAAAACAGTTTGAAGAGATTCAAAAAGAGTTTACAACAATTACAGTTTCTATTTGCACCCTCTGATTTCCTGCCAAACTATAGTGGTTCAAGTATTTATTGGCATAATTTCAAAAGTCAGGTCCAGTTTTTTGGAAGTATATGATTGTCGAATTGAAATCAGAATGGTGCAAACAAAAATTTTACAAAGATAAGAAAACCTCATTTGAATCCCTCTAAATATTTTTCTAACTCTAAACTTGACTGGACCTAAACATAAATGCACTTTCTGATTACAATCAGTTATTTTGACTAAATAATAAATGGTTTTGACTATACAGTGGATGTTAGATATTAATGAAGATATAAATAAACTGAGAAGAGCTAGATACAAAATACTTCAAGAAAACATTGTCACAAAAATACACAAAGAAAAAGGCACATTTAGAGAGAAAAGAATAAAAGAACGATAAATAGAGAATAAATTGGAATAAATTATAATAATAAATGAACTAGACAACTCTAGCACTAATTGTCATATTATATGAAAAGGATGTAGTTCTCAAATTATTTGCTTCATCAGCTGATCAGAGCTAGAGCTCAATGTCAGCCATCAGTATCACTTTTTAGAATTAAGCCTGATTCTCAGTTTTTCAACAATTCAATGCATGAAATGTATTTGACATGTCTGGAAATATTATCCCCAGTTATTCATGACAACAATATGTTAATAGTTTAATTTAGTTAAAATCAAAAAGCAGAAAATTTTGAAGCAACTTCCTTGGTGAGTGGATTTTCAAGAAAAGAAACTACTCTACGGATAAGGGACTAGTCTATTAACATGGATATAAATTATTGCATTCACAAGCAGTGGAATATTATTACATCTTTTATTATAATTATTATTATTTTGACTAGATAATACCATAATATTATAATAACAATGGGAGGTGTATATTTAAAACTGTGGGGAGAGAAAGGGGGGCAAGGCAGATTCAGAAATATTCAGTCAAATTTGTATGATGGCAACCTTATAATAATGTAAAGTAATAATAATTCAAAATGGAATTGTTTCAAAATAGCAAATAACATTTTAGAATTACTTATGTTGCTTGCAGCAGGAAGGTTCAGTGTAGATTCTGAAAGACCAAATATCAAATATTGGAAAATACCAGTAGTACAAATAAGCTTGAAATCCATAATTTCATTGTGAAAAAATCTCAGAATGGTGTTTGGCAAGATAGTGAAGATGTTTTCTTCACAAATCAACCTATCTAGAATTACAGACTACAAGCCTATCTAATGATCCGTCATTTATAAAACACATATTCTCTATACAAATAGCTTCAGATTTACTACAAAACCTACCAAAAATACTTCATAAAGATGATAATTTCTAATACATATCTAAAATTTTGTCAGGTTTGTCAATCTGAGGAATATATCATAAATGACATCATGCCATTAGACTAGTACTACACAAATTTCATTATCACTAAAGAAACAAACAATGCAAACAATATCAACAAGCAGATTGTAATGGAATAAATATTGCCCCATAATCAATTCCAGTGTTTTTAAATAAACATAGAATAATAATAATAATAATAGTCAATTCACAGGATGATAGGATAATAGAAAAATACAAAGTTTATTTAATACTAGGATGAATAAGGACGTAAATGTTCCAGTTGGATTTCCAGGGCAATTCTTTGTTCCATGACTTCTTGTAATTCTTGATTAAGTTCACTATTTAAGCGATTTAAAGTTGAATTCCTCTCTTTATGAGTTCTAATAGCCATTTGCAGATCTCTTTTATCTCTACTCACTTGTCTGAAAATATAGAACAGTTTATAAATATTTTTTCTATTCATTTTTTTTCTTCTTTTTCACGAATTTTTTGCAATTTTGCATGATTATTAAACCCTTTTCCCCTTCAAACAGAATGTTTTCTAAACTGCTGATTGATCAAAAAATCAAGTTAATTAAGTATTATCAATGTAACTCAGATATGTTTAATCTATTACAGTTTGGAGGTTGCATTTGCTCAATGAATTGGATGCTCACTGATAGTTTTGATCCCAGCAAAGGTCTATAACCTTTAAATTTATCAACTTGGTTTACCCATGTCATTGATGCACAATTGCACATCATTCTGGCTGACATGGAAAAAGCATTCAGTTTGGACAATAAACTGAGAAAAAGCAAGCTGCAGGCCCTGCACATTAAAGAACCCTTAACTGTTGGAAATAAAAAAAAGGAGTAGGCTATTGTTACTCATGTTTATATTTTCCTTACCTTATTGTAGTCATTTTACGTTCTGTCTCTTCTCCACCTCCAGCATCAATTAAAGTGGGTGATTTTAACTAAAAAAATTATAATCGCTAATTAGTAAGTAATAAAACAAATTTAGTTCAAAGTCTTCGCTCATCTGTGAATATTCAGATAAGGACATATGTTGATAAATCCTTAATAGTGGGGGAAAAATTAACATAAAATAAATACTTTACCCTATGATCTGTTGATATATTTAAACTACTATTGGTACTTGTACTATTTAGATCTGAAAATAATTAACAGACAAATATTAGCTCAAATTTTTCAGTTTTCTTTTGCAAATTTTCAACATACATCTGAAAAGATCATTTGCATACTGAGTAAATCTCACAGAATTCCTCTTTGAAATTTTATTTATTTAACATGGAATCTAAAAGACTAAATAGCCCTAAGTAAATCTCTTTTTTATATCAAGGACAAGATAATAAAATATTTTCAAAATTCTTCAAAATATTTCTTGTTTCTTAATAAGGGACCTACCGGCAGCACCAAAATGATTTCCAACCTGTAACAAAAAAAAAAAGAAGGGTTGTTATTTCAAACAGTCAAGATAATCAAAAGGTAAAAGATTCATGAATATTTATATTTAATATCAGCCATTATAACATATGCCTAGTTCTTAAACTTGATTAGACCAAAATTCTTTATGAGGGTAACCAGGGTGAAGTAACGTACATTGAAATAATTTCAGTATCAAAACAAATGAAGAAATAAAATGTTAAAATAATGCTTCACTTACTACATGTTATCAGTAAAGAGAAAATATTACAGATTATAAGGCAAATGTTAAGACAAACAAAACAAACTAAGCTACATTAAAAAATAAGCATTAAAAACAAAACAAAAGCATAGTTAAGTATTATTATAAACCTGTACTTCTTTGATTGAAGAGATTAAATAAATTGGATGGAATGTGTTGAAAGTCTTTGATTAGAGAAATGCTTCTTAAAAAAGGACTCAATTTGTGGGACATCATTGAAAGCACTGTTTCCCACACATTAACCAATCTTTATACCACTTTCCCTCAATTTGGCAATTCTCCACCAACAAAACAAACAGTTGTGAAGTGAAGCAAATGGCTGATTTAAACTTCAAGACAAAAGAGTTCCACCTATAAATATGTTCTGTTCTTTGTTGAATCATTTCAAAATATTATTGCACCTCTTCCTATTCAGGAATTGAACTTGTGTGTGAGAGCAATAAGTAATATGTGTTCTCTATCACACTATATGAAATTTAGAACTGTACACAAACCCTTCTTATTTCTTATTTTGATCTTCGTTATTTGAACATAAAGCAAAGAACTTGTTAAATACAGTTCTGCTTTTTTAGCCGAATTACTGTCCATGACAATGAAAATTGTATAAGTTATATTGTGCAAGATAAACACCCATTTCCATACAAGGGTCCAATTTCACAAAAAAAAAAGGAAAAATATATTCCAGTCATTTGAGTGGTTAATCATTAATATTCTTTTAAATTCAGTTTAATTAACCAATCAGGTGACAACATTTCTAAATTCTGGCTCCTGTTGTCAGAAATTTTGTAACTTTCTGTTCTAGTATCTAGTTACTTCTAGACAGCTGATTGGTCAATAACATCACTGGAATAACATCAATCAATGTTATTGGTATAGCACACTGCTGATGGTTCTGACAACAGATCCATAAATTTTAACCATAGTCAAGTTTTTGTGAAAAAGAACCCAGTGTATTCTATCCCATTATGAAAAAATAAAAATTAAAACCAGACTCCCACTCAGTGATAACAAATATCTCACCAATTTTTTAATATCTAGAGACATACAACGTCTATGTCTCTCTATTGGACCTATTTTAAACTTAGGCTTAATATGAGACATACGCTTCTGAAATAATGTTAGTAATATAATGATGTTAAATAATATAATAAGAAATTATCATAACTAGATCATAATTCATCATGTTAAAGTTATAAAGATTAATGTAGAAGAAGAAATTCAAATGAGTATTTAACATTAAAATTCAAGAAAGCAGCTGTGATGATTAGTTCGGATTCAGTTTTTAGATAGCATATCTTTTTTGGTCAATTGAATAGTTACCGAAGAATTCTGGCCAAATTCATGCTCAGAGTTTGCCTTAAATAAGTACCACAATAAAAATGTAAAGGCATAGACAATATGAATTATAATCCAGTTGCATACAACAATTAACATTCCTTATGGCAAAATACAACATTGAATGTTAATCAGCAAAAAGGATTTTTATATAGGAAAAAAAAGCTAGTATATATAAATGTAACTTTTCTTTTAAGTCAGTTCAGAAAGCATTTAATGATAAAAATTAGAGAAATTTGACAAGACTAGGACATGAAAATATAAGCACCTCTGTTGGTGACAGGTCAATATTGTCATTGAAAGAAACTGATTTTTCAATACTTGTACTTTCTACATTACCAACTCCTACTGTTTCATTGTCTTTACGTACAGGGGGCTGGAAATACACAAATCATACCAAAAACATGCAATGATTATGATGATGTATAGTGATCATGATAATAAATACTAATATATGACTGTGATAATATATTAGGTGAGATGATAATATAAGTTCAAATATATATCATGCTGGAAACATCACAAATGAATGATTAAATGACGCTCAGGGTTGATAAATGATCACTGCTTATCTGTTCATGATAATGATAATATCAACTGAAATGTAATAGATCTATAAAACATGCTGGAAACATGAATGATTAAAGGATGCTCTTGATTGCTAAGTGATTAGAATGCAAGATTAGCCAGGTAATGTGCCAGAACCTTTTAGTTCAGCTGCTCTATATCAGTGCTTAGCTCAATGCAGCATATAGAATTGTACATCTTTTACTGTCCTTAGATTCAAAACGATAATAAAGACTTATATGTGGTCAGAGCAATGATCATGATGATAATGAACAATGGTGATAACAACAACTATGATAATGATAATGGTTATAATGGGGCACAACAGAAGCCAAGATATATAATATATGGAGAGTAAACAAACTCATGCAGAATATAAACTTGTCAACTTACATCTTTTGGTGAGACTCTAGGTGGTACAGCAGGGGGAGGTAATAAACCCATTAAACCACCTAAAAATATAAACAGGATTAGATACCATTAAGATACCTATGTCATTGCAGATGATTTCTTGGACCAGATGAAGCTTGCTCAGTGTCCCTGTTTTAAAAAGCTGAAATGATCATTCTTTTTGGATTTTCACCCTCTAGAAATTCCTCATATAAATCAGAAATTATGTATAAAATATAAGTTAAAAACTGAGAAAGCATGGAGATTATACAACTTTCTGGTTGTCATGAATTAAATTTTTGAAAATTCCCACCGGAAAATGAGGCAGGTTTTTTTCTATACAAAATACATGGTCTTTAAACATAATAAAACATCCAGCCAAAAATTGCAAAAGCTTATAATAATGGAAATAATTTGACAGTAAATTAACAGTTTGAATTTCAGAAAACCAATTAACTTACCACCATCAGTACGACTTTTTAAATCTACAGATAAACTACGACCGTGAGATTGAGGTGGTCGTGGCGGTGGAGCAGGAGGTTCTTGACTAAAACCCTCCGTACTAGGTGGTAATAATACAGTTGGTCTTTCAGCAGTAGTACTATCATGTTGACTAGAGAATGGTGGTGGTTGAATGTGACCTCTTCCAACCATTGGGACTACAAATCAGAGAAAACACTTTACTGAATCCACATACTTACAGAAGAAAATCGACATGGTGTACCAAATTCAGTATTTGGTATTTAATTTATTATAGCAATGCCATTTTTAATTGGTGCCAAGGATCATGAATATGAAGGAAGAATGTTTGAATGTTAAATAGATTCACTAATGTCTTTTTCAACAGTGTTGGCAAACCATTATTTTTTGCATAAGGTACAATCATTATGTATATTTTAATCTTGAAAGGGATATAGTTAGGCACTTGGTCAAAAAACAAAATGATAAACAAATTAACTAGATAACCATATCCCTTTCAGATTTGATTTTTACCATATATTTGTAAAAACTGTTACCTAGATAAAAACTGGGTACATTTGTCACTACACAACATTGATAATATAGTACAACATTCAACAAATTACCTCCCCCTATACTAAATATTGCTAGAAACGGTGCTAGAAACTGGAAGGTGTAAACATTCATTGATAACATGCTCTCTTAATATTCTCTACAGAAGTGTTCAAATTTCTCCCTTCACAGTGAAATTCCAAAGTAGTTTCTGCAACTTTAGTCTTATCTATAGACTCTTTGTTAAGATTTACAAAGATAGACCTAGTTATATGGAGGATATTTTGTCAGGGTAAGCATGTCCTATTCGCTAGTGACATCTGTCAAAAAATGGAGTCTGCTTAAATTTTAAAACTGGCAACTGAATTAAATAATGGAAGTGAACAGCATTCTCGGTACCTTGTGTGTTTTTCTTTGGTACAGGTCGAGGCCTAGGATGTAAAGGTGTATTGTACTTTGAGCCAGGACCCTCTGTTTGCCCCACAGAATCACTGGCCGAGGACTCTGTATGTGACCTTTGTTTTGTAGGAGTCACTAGATTATTTTGAGCAGTTGTATCACAATCAAGCATGCCTGGATCTGAAAACACAGAAACCAAAAGAACACAAAATAAAAACAACAGAACAACATAGAAACAAGCATAGAAACCAACATGAAATTAAAAATACAAAATATTGAAACTAAAAATTATGGTGGTGCTGATATTCTAATCTAGAAATACAGTGATAATAGACAAAGATAGCCTGTAAACATTTTTACTACTTTGTCAATTCTTTGTACATAAATACATGCATAGAAGAGACCTGATTGGATATTTATAGTACTTGATATATAGTAAAAAGTTCGCAAACTAGTTTACATTTTCTTATTTGAGTTACTATTTATGATAATGATATGCAACTGAAAACTATGCTGATAGTACCTTGATCCAAAACAAGGTGATAGAAAGAATCTAATAGAAGACTATCTCTTTCAAACCCACTATCTGAGAATGATGATATTAGCAATTAACATGATTTTGAGTAAGTAGGAGTTCAACAACAAAAAGATGCAGCTGTATTTCCACTCTTATTCAAATTTGACAATGGCATATCCAAAATAGATCTGTAAATGTGTCTAATCTAATTGAAATTAGGTTACAATTTTGTTAGGTTATTAATTATTTTATTATTTATCTCATTGGTCATAACGCTCTTCTTTGTATTTCGCTTACCCACAATTTATAGTCGATCTTGGTATAAATCTTTTTAGATTAAAACTGGGAAAAAAATAATAACGAAACGAAATTGTAATCTGATTTTATTTAAGTCCATTCAAATCTGTATCTTCACATTCACCACAGTAACTTTAACAAGGAATAATGATCGCTTTTTTTCATCTATCAGAGAAATCTAATCTATCACATTAATAGTATTAATTTGATAATTATTAGTAACTAAAGAAATGAGCTAATATCCTATCAGGAGAAACTGTCAAAAGAAATCTAAAAACTAAAAGCCTAATGTTGAGTTCGGAAGTAAAAATAAATGTGTTTAGAAACTAAAAAAGACATTGTTACTGCTTAACTCTCTATCAAACATTTCATAATAACCTTGATAAATTAGGCTCAATCATAATATTAGGGCATATTTTTGGTTGTTTTATTGATATTGCAAGGTTCTAAAAGGACTTATTTTTATAAAGTTTGTCTTAATAAATATATTATCACATTCTTTTATAAAATTTTAAATTTCAAAGAATGCCATTCTTCCTGTATTTATCATGGCAGCTAATATAGTTCTATTCTATCATAAAAGTAAGAAGGGTATTGGGCTTCAGAATTATTGAGTTAAGTTAATTTCTGCCACCACAATAACAAATTTGGAAGAGTGAAGCAGTGACAATGACTAAAAGACTAACTAAGAAATAGTAAGTAATTATGAGTAAGAGATTAATGTGTGATATAAACAATATATATATAATAAGTTATTTACCACTATCATTGTTGACTATATTACTTTGATCACCTTAAAATCAATAATGACATTTAATTCAATGTGAACAACTTCTTAGTTTGTCTGACAAACCATTCCAATGTTATCATTATTTTGTTATTTCATGTCTTTTACACATTCTACGTTTTGAATCGTTTACCATCTGTAAGAACAGCAAGCTTGTGGTGTTGGAAGCCAGTAGGAAACAATCACAAAACTAGTTCGGTATGTTTACTGAGGGAAGAATAGCTCAGTGAATATCATTGCTACACTATCAGGCACTATCAATAGAAACCAGTCTGAACCCAAAACTTAAAAATTGTTTCTTTTATTTCAGACCAACTTCTAAGGCGAAAATTTAACTCTTAAAATTTTAACCCGATCTTACTACAAACCTATTTAAAGCACAACTAACTAATGTATATATAACAGATGCAATTATACAATAACAAAATTCTTATAAAAACTTTCAAAAATAAAATTCCTCTATTAGCAAGGTAATAACAACTTTAACAATTTGGGTAAAGCACATCTAACTTGATATTTAACTGATACAAGTACAATATCCTTATACAACAGGGAGACTTGTATAACCAGAATAGCAAGAATATCAAGCATAAGTATATACACTACCTGATAATGCTCTGCCTCTATCATAACCTTCTGGAGCTAGAGGCTGACCATCAGGTGACATTCTAACAGCTACAGGATGTACTATTTTTGAATCCTAAAAATACAAGTAGAGATATTCTAATACACTGTGGAATCAGTGGAAACCAATGAACCCATAAAATGATATTATAGAAAAGTCATAGTACTCAAAGTCACTGTTAATAGAATTTTAAATGTTATGATTTACATCTTTATTATAATCCAATGATATGACAGTATTGGTAATTTTTCTATATTTTGTGTTATTTAAAGGGATTGAAATTTTTGATGTGTATCAAGGACACTGATAGCATCACTTTGGACCATTGTAGGAACCACAGATATCTGATTAAAATTTGGAATGGTACAAATTGATGCTATCAGTGTCACCAATATACATGAAATTTTTAGAAAACCTCTTTATAATCCCGGTAATAGTATGTCATTGAAAGCATAAAGCTTAAGTATGAAAAGATTTTTGATTTTGTAAGGTGTATTTACATTTGTGGTTTTTTCATTATCTCAAAGTATATCATAAGTCATAAACACTTCTTTTTTTTTTATCCACTCAAGGTCGTTTTCCCTATAACAGACTAATAAGTTTACTTACAGGATCACCAGCTATCGGTTTGGCAAATTCAAAATTAACAGGTTTTAAAGCAGGGGAGGGAGCTCCACCAGATTCTGGTGATTCAATAGGAAAGTTTGATGACCATTGCTGAAAAATATTGAAAAGAGATTCCTCTTGAAGACTATTCACAACAGGTATCCTGAGATTTTATATTAGAATACATATAATCACATTCTTCACGTTTTGTAATATCAACAAAATATCTTGCTTTAACATAAACATTTCAATTATGTCAAGTTTGGCTTGATGTTATTTGGCCTTATACTTCATAAAGCATACAAAAATATAAATATACAATATTGAATATTGTCAAAGACTCCCATTTGAGACCTCACAGAAATTTCATCAAAATGGAATATTGATTGTATTCAGATCCTACATAAATAGTTAAAGTTATGAATCATCATGTAAATGAAAGTCAGACAGACATACCTGTTCTGGGGGAGGGGTGACACGTTTTAACGTACTTCCTTGTGGTAGGTCGGCTGCAAATGGTTCATCTAGAATAATCAGTTTGTTAATATACAACAATAAGTATCAACACCAATCAAATGTATAAATTTCCTTCTTAAGGATTTGTTAATAAAAAACAACATGTCATTTTAAACTAATTAACAATGTTTCTTTAGTTACATGACTTATGGACAAACACAAGGGCCACCTGATATGAGGTATTGATAGAAAGACAACCTCTTTTCATTTTTGGCATATTCTAGAATTTGATTTCAAGTTAAGGACAATGTACTCCACATGACATCAGCATAAGACTGATTCTATAAATATATAAACCTACCATTTGTTAATGTTGCGTATGGCATTAAAGATAAAGGAAGGCGTTCAGGAAGCTCTATGTCATTACGACGTAACACAACAAGATGCATGGCTATAATAAATTCTTCTAAAGATAAAGCCCCATCACAGTTAAGATCTGATAATTGCCTGAAATAAGAAGTAACAATATAAGATATACCACTGTTATTAGAAATTTGAAAATGATTTGTAAAAAAAAAATTTAACCTATATCTAGTCGAGCATTTGTTCACTTTACAATTGAGAAGATATCTTTAGGATGGTAGTCTTTTGATAATAGATTTCAAATTAGTATTCCCTAGATTGAGAAGCCAAAAGTGAAAACTAGTAATCTTACCAGATAGTGGATAATTCGGTAACAGGTAACTTGGATTTTTCAAAAAATTCTTTAGCAACAGGACCTACCAAAAAAACCATAAGCAAGGAAAGTTATTTATACAGTTAACAAACAAAGTGTTTTAAAATTCTAAATAAAAGTAATTAAATCAAATTCAACAATGGATCAACATATAGAAATAGCCTAGATAAATTATTTCTTCAAAAAAGGAGCAAATGGCAAAGTGGCAAAAGTAGCCTTTAATTCTGTCAACTTAAAGATTTCAAGGCCTTAATTTTGGCACAACAGTGACTTACATATGAAAAATCGACTAGGATAACACAACAGTGTTAGCGTCTTAAAGGTCAAAAGATTAAGAAGATTGACAAGGATCAACTTACCAGAGATCATACCAGATAAATCTGGTTCCATAGTTTTAAATTGTTTAATATAATATTCTCTTTGTTCATCAGTAACACAGAATACATCATCTACACTCTCAGCTTCAGAACTTATTGATGAGGAATCAAAATTAGGTGGTTCTAATAAATCCCATTTCTTTACCCCATTACCTATTAACACTGAAAGAAGAATTTGTTAATATCTTATATGTGGTCCTTCTTTCACTAACCAAGATGAGAGAGGTTGGTATTTGCTGAGAGAAGTTAAAAGCATAGCCTGTAGCACACAAGTCCATACTAAAGACTTATTTATGAAAGCAAGCATGAGTTTAAATTCCACTACTCTTTTAAGCTTACAATTTTGAAATTACATCCACTTACTATGACTTTCTTCATCTTCAAACACGGCCCAACCTCCATTTTCATTGGTTTCATTATTATATATACCCCCTTCTAATGCTACTGGATTAACATGACCTGTATCTAAACCAGTCTGAGCAGGTAATAAGTTATCACCACCTGACATAGTATAACTAGCTGGTGCTGTCTGCTGTTTAATCAGTTGACGCTTAATACCAGCTGGTGAAACAGGTGGTGATTGATTTGGTGAAAATTGGGGCGATTTAGTTTCTCTTGGTGATGTTTCATCTCTATTCAATACCTTGAGAATAAAACAGAAATATTCAATAAATAAAGGCTATTTACACCATGATGGTACAAAATATACCTACCCCTACAAAAGCCACTTGATAGCGTTTTAGACAATCAAAATGCTGTTATGCTCGAGAGACAAAAACTAGGGCAGACAGGTAAACAATCCATTGCCCAACACAAATGAAGCAATGGTATGGAATAGATGAAAAGACAATAAGCTCTGTGACAGTGCAAATAGCCAGTGCAATAAATAAATCCATAACAGTCAATAGTACGATTTCTTAGAAAACTATATTCAAAACCATATTGAAAGCTTGTCTAATCTGGACAGTATAATCCTATTGAAATGTATCTGCTTGTGAGACCAGACAATATGTGTCTCTGAAATTGAACAATTGTAACCATATCCTTCAAGCCCACCAAATAACAAAGACTTGCATCTTCTCACATAATAAATAGACATATACCTGATTATCAAATTGTTGTTGTGGTAGTGGTTGTACTGGTTGTTGTACAACAGGTTGTGTAGAATCAGGTACTATACCTCTATACTGACCAGATAAACTACGCATATGAGATTTTTTACCAGGAGGGGGTGGGGGTAATTGTCCTTTACCAGATTTAAAATTACTGTAACAGAAATAAATTGGTATTTTCAAGATTCTGATTAATTGATTACTGAGAAAATTGGATAAATTCTGTCCATATTTTATACAAATATTTGAGATATCGAGAGTTGAAAACTGGACAAATTTTGAAAGAGTTTAAAACTGGACATCAACATTGCCATATTTCTATTGTGTAAGTGTAAATAAAGGCTAGCTCAATTACATCTCACATGCTTAAAGAGCAAAATGACAATTTGACTTGAATCAGACACAACTGGCAAACAGCCAAATCATCATCCCTTGATAATATACACCCCTCCCTCTGTTTACAGATATTATATAGTTGTGCTTAGTAAATATTCATCAAGTAATATAATCCTTTAAATAGTATCAAGTCACTGACATACAGTATCTAATTACTATATCACACTCTTAACAATCCTTTTTAAACTTAAATCTTAGTAATATCAAAGTACAGTTAATGATACATGTACTTAAGATAAATACTTCAATATGGACCTATCTGCCTGTATTTTCAAAAATCAATAAATTATATTTCATTTCAGTTACTTACAGCACATTTCATTGAGATTTTCAATTTATTTTCACAATAGCTTATTCTTTAAGCCTTGACATCAAATTTAGACTGTTTGACCTTAACATCATTGCTTTTTGACTCAAAAGCTAAAAATAACTCTTATTTACATAGTATTCCTCATTGTTTTGATAAGTTTTCTTTGTTTACAAGATATGTATTTAACAAAAAATAAGAAACCAAAAAAAACCTTAAGATACAAATGAATATTTTATCAGACTGTCATGTTGTTAAAGCAGACAACATTGAAAGTAAATACTTACATCTCATTTTCTCCTTCACCAGTTGTACCTTGACTCCATTTCTTCTCACCAGCACCTTCAAAATAAAATGTCCTCATATTTTACACTGGGTTATAGAGCAACTAAAAACGTGACATTCATTCTAAAGAAAAGATTATTGTTGCCATGAATTTACCTCTTAAAGCCAATTGATTCATCTCACTTTTACAAATTCCTAAATATCCATTTGAAATTTTGTCACTGTATTCTACAGTTTCTTTACAGGACATGTTTAAAAATAGACCACTTATAGTCTAATATAGACTCAGATGTGTATGATTAATGTAATAAAACTTCTCAACACATCTGCCTAGCTTGCTTTCAGAAGGCTAATAATAATGAAATGAAATGACAGGCAATGATGAAATTCTTTTGAATAGTTTTGACCTTGTCAAGACTGGGTATAAATACTGTACTGCAGTACAATGAATGTATTAATATTTTTATACAACATCCGTCAATAGCTCTTATAAATTGTAATGTTGAATATTGCTTCAATTTTCTCAAACCAACTAATAAATGCTACATTTTAACATTGATAAAAACTTCATCAATTCTCACTTAAATTCTTCTTTTGTATTGATAATGAAATTTCAGACCTCAGCTCATATTAAAAAAAAATATTTGGTAATGCTCATGAGAAATAGTGAGTGACAGGCAGCATTAAGCTAAGATTCCATATACGCGTCATGCGGATCCGACATCCATCATGCGTTAAAAATCGAAATGGTTGGTTTAAGAGGGTATGATTCCATATATGCAGAAGCGCTATCCGTCAAAGGTCTCCGTCATGCGTCAAAAAAATCGCTGGTTGTAGCGATTTTTGACGCATCCAGGCGCTTTTCCGCACAAAGATCTCCCAAATGTGATGTCTTTTTTATGAACCAAAGCATCCATCTGTCTACAAGTCTGTACGTCAAAAGAAAGATAACGCATACGTTTAACGCACATATGGAATCATATTTGACGCGTGACGGTTCTGCAAGGGCCATTTATGTTTGCATGACGCATTCGCATGACGCATATGTGGAATCTTACCTTAAAACTGACAATATAATTTATTTTTTTAAATACTTTAGTATCAAAAATAGCACAAACCCAAACAGATATCTCAATTAAATTTCTTACAGTATTATGGGCACATGTGATTGTACTAACACCAACAGCATTTTTAAAAAATTGTGTCCAAATATTTACTTTTATACAATGAAGTTTGCTGAAACCCACTTTTACTTTTTGCAAAAACATGTTCAAAGTAACATAAAATATAAATATATGTGAAATAATAACAAAAGGCAAGACTTACCTGGGTCATTAACTTTTAAATTGAATTTAGGAAGGTTTAATTCTGTACCAGTATTCAGACTTTCTATCTTCAATGGAAAACCAGACTGTACAGCAGCTATTAATTTCAATGCTATATAAAACTGACTACGGCCAAAATGACCCAGTCTCTTCGCTCCACATAGCTCAGATACCTGAAATTATAATATATTATTATTAATGTGGATATGACACAATGCTATATTGATGTAGTTCATAATACATAACATGATAATTCTCAAAGCAAGAATAAAATCTATATATTTCTTTTTCTTATTCATATGTATATCCCTCTACAAAAAATACAAATATAAACACTATCTTCAATTAATATACAGGTTCAAATTTAATACAGTCACATCTGATTGATCTATTTGGAATACTTTCACTTCAGATTCACAACATCAGTTTTTCACTTCCTCTTTCAAATATCTCTTTAAATCAAAATCTTCCATAAGGAAATGTTAGAACAAAATCATTAAGATCTTCCTTCCTAGAAAAATCACTAGATATAAACAGTTAATATTAGAACACAAAAGACCTCTCATAAGTTTTGATTAATGTATATCACATTTTATGCATTTTTCAGTTCAGACTTTGAATAAGAATTCAATTTACAAAGAGTAAATGAATCATTGGTTTAGAATGTTGAAAATGCTTCTCAATATTTTAACCCTTTAAATACCAGTGGCTTTTAGTACTTCTGAAGACTATTTACTTATGTTTAAGACCAAAATTGATCCCTGAAAATGAACATCCTTGGTCTTTAAACTAACATTGTGAAGCAAAGGCAGTCTTTATCATATGCCATAATTTAAGCCAAACATTTCTGATACTCAGTGTTCAAAGGGTTAACTATTAGTAAGTATCAAATATATATCAGACATACACAGTAGATGAAATCAATAGATATACATTTAATAAATACATAGTGCAGTTCAATATCCATAGATATGAAACATGACAGCTAGTAATCTCTTGGTGATGCTAAAAACATTAACATGATTACAGTCCTGGAAATTTGACCCAATTTGTACTGTTTGCCGCATGGGATAACTCGGTCTACAAGAAATATTATATTACATTATAACAGTGTAATCCAGTTGCCTACAAATTTTTGAGGAAAAAATGTTAGGACCACCTGCAGATTCTAAGGACAAGGGCCATCTAAGCTAAAATTCAAATATTTTCACTCAATAATCTTATTTTAGCTTTCCTTGAATAATAATAACCAATATTTTGTAAACACTACCGGTACCATATGTTTTGTAAAATCTGTCTATATTTTTTTGCCTTGATGAGTCTTGTAATTCCAGAAAAAATTGATCAGATTACAATATCACAAATACATGTATATATATTTTAATGTTAATTTCTATATGAAGCCTTAGAAGCATGAAAAATCGCAATATGTCTAGTAACTTTTAAAGCTCTTCAAATGGTTATTGACTTGAGAATGTACAAAATCAATACAAAGTTCACACATAAAGATCTGTCACGAAAAAAAGTCATAAGTTTTTCTTAATAGCTTTAAACAAACTATAAAATCTTACAGCATACTACTGAGACAAATTTCAAATGTTATCTAGTATTAGTGAGAATTAAAACACCATAGATATCACCTTACACATAAGGTAATGACACATGGAGGTTGACACAAACTAGAGTCTGGCATATGAATACCGGTAGTCTAAAATCATTTGGAAAAACCTACTGATTACTAAAAATTTAATTCAGAGAATCATTAATTGGATTGTATATGTTTTGTAAATTATTATGAGTATCAGGAACACTGATAGCATCAATTTGCACCATTCAAATTTTCAGTCTGTGATTCATGCAATTCCATAAAAAATAAATGTTTGGCGACATCAATAATCGCAAAATATACTTTGTCACATAAGGCCCTTTGCAATTAGTGAATTAGAACCACAGATGTCTGAATGAAATTTAAAATGGTACAAATTAATCCCTGTTACACAAAAATACATTTTACAAAACCTTTAAAGTGGAAGGCCTAATCATCTTATGTAAGATTAGTTGACATCAAGAAACCCAAACATACTAGTGTGAATAGTTTGATAGTACTTTAATTTGGTCATTCTTCAGATAGACAAGAAAACGAAGATATTAAAGTAAGTAATTGACAGTAATAGAAACCAATGCATGTTTTTGACGTCTATAAAATTTTAGTTTTACATATCATGTAGTATCCATCTTAATATTTAACAGGTTTTTGTCCATTCTGCCACTGTGGCAAACAATGCTTGATAGTTGGACACAATAGTTTTTTTTTATAGTGAAAGTTACTGTTGGAATAAGTATAGGGAAAATTCAGCACATTTTATGGGTACTTTTCCATCAGAAAATTAACTTTCTTTGACAAATGGTAATATCGTTAAAGGGACAGAGGTTAGCTATTTTTGAGCATTGATTTGGGTCTTGAATACATTAAACAGAAGCAGAAGAAATGTACAGAAATCACAAAATTTCTACACAAATTATCTCAAAATAGGAATTTCACTTGCTATTTCCATAATATATATCTTATTCTATAAATGGCAGGTACTCAAGAACCCAAGTTGTCTTTTTAACGCCGATAATTCTGGACACACATAGATTTGATTATCATTGGTTAGCTTTACTAGTCTGAGACTAAAGTACAATTTGTCAAACGGATGGCAATCTATCTCTTTAAAGATGGTTTTCCTTATTTTTAAGTGTCAAATTAAGCAAACTATTTTATCAATTGGTGCTTCTAATGAATTATCATATCATTTTATTATTATTGAATATAATTAAGAGTTTTAACCAAACATAAATGTCCATGTATGTACAGTCTGGACAAACAAATAAAGACTTTTTGACCTTTCTTGATCGGCCACTCATTGTAATTATGCTGGTAATTCTCTTCTAATTTAGCTAATCATGAATTAATTATGGACATATGAGACAAACTGGTATTTTTCCAAGTCATAAGAACACCTCTACTTTCTATTCATATTAGTATTAGCATTTTCATTTTCATAAATGAAAATAAGGAAACCTATCTTTAACCTACAAATTTTAAAGAAGATACGCATTGGAAGAATAGAAACGCCTTTAAGTAGAGCTTTCTTCAACCGTGCGACAGAATTATCTCTTTAATCATGTCAGTTGACAGAATCTTTACCAATAGATCCAGAGCAGTAAAGCTGTTTAGTTTAGCTGTATTGCATCCATATACTGATTGAAATATGGGTGTCTGATTTCTGACCCTTAACCAGCCTATAATTATATAAAATATCTATTAGAGAGGTAAATCCCAGTAAAATATTTTATCTAATTTTTGGGTTTACTTTACTCGCTACAGGATTCTTATACTTGACAGAAAGAAAATACACAAACAAACCTTTCTAACAATATATGTAGTCATATTAAAGGGACATATTAGCCATTTATTGGGGGGTTGATTTGGATCCTGAATATATGTAAATAGCATTTGAAAATAATTGAAATGTAAGAAAATCACATAATTCCTTTGTAAAAACCTCAAACTAGAAATTTCACTTTCTATTTCAGGCTGAAAAAATCAGGATTCATGGTGCATGAATTTTTAGGCCTGATTCAACATTTCAAGAATGTCTTTTCTATATATGGCAGTCTATAGACCGGAGCATCTGTCTCTATTCCAGCCTCTGATAGCTATTTGGACAGATGTCAGCCGGTATTCTGACAGAAAAATAGGCCCAGTTAAAAGTGGACATTCCGCATCACTGCAGGTGCGGGGGTTTAAACCTATTTAGATACCTCGGATCTGCAAAACCTAGGTATCTGGAAAGATGAATATTTTTGTAGTTCAGTCATACCATTATTTTTTCCCTACTCCGTTTATGCACAACCTAAAGTTCAAAGAGACACGTAATACTAACAAAACGAAAGTTACGGTGATGCCCAACAATATTATGTTAGAGAAAATGCATCTTTGAAGGTGTGAAAAATCCCCATTTAACAGGGTCTTTTCTTCTGACAACTGTCAAAATATACATCAGAGGCTAGAATAGTGGCAGAGGCAGATGTTTCAGACTAAGCAGTCTACAGAAAAGACAAGTTGTCTTTATGACTTTCAAATGTTGATAATTCTGGACACATATGGCTTCGAAGGCTCAAATTTAGAGCAATGAACAATATTACTGATCAGCTAAAAAAATTCCCATTTCTAAGACTGAGGAAAGATTGGTAAAACTGATTATTTAGTAAATCAAGCAAATCATTTGAGGTCTGGGAATATGTCACCAATTAAATGAAGGAATTTGTTTACAAGTGATAGGATGAAATCACTCTGGTGGATATTGTAAAGGAGGAGAAACCACTGCATGCTGCATGGAAAAAAGCTTCTTGGACAGATGTTTGTTGAATGAATTTATTCAATCTTAATCTATTCAGAAAGAGCATAAAACTTTCATAGGCTAAGAACTCAGAAAATCATTGGTAAATTAAATACAACTGCTAATCTTGCCTTCAGTTAAGACCAAATGTATCCTGAAATATTGTTATCACATTTGCTAACTTCGTAACTAGGCTAATCTAATGATATTCAAGATTTCATTTATACAAAATGAAGATGGGTTTGGCTTATGTCTGGGACAATAACAACAATGAATATTCATTACAATTTCAATGCACACAAACAAGATGGAAATAGGGTTTATACCTGCACAAGGGCCTCTGGTGCTAATCCAGACCCACGAAATAATTCAGATGCTTTCAGACCGGTAATTTTTCCTGTACCATCTGAGTCACACGCCTGAAAATATTCTCCATAACATCTCTGTTCAGATTCACTTAGTTTCAAACCTTCCATAATAAATGTTCAAGAATTTAATTTTCAAATCAAGATCAACATGTAATGAGGAAGAAGTAAATCTGATTGTCAAAGCTTCTGATGTTTATATTGTTCAATAAATTATGATTAAAATTCGTTGATTATGGAGTAACCTATCGCTGAAGCCTCCATCTTTAATCGATTTCTCGGTCAATGTCAGTTGTGGTGCGCAACCATAATGTTTTGTCAAAATTAAATATTATGCCTACAATAATATCTTCAACTCTTAATCAAAGCAAACTCAATTTAAATAATATTTATTGAATTCACTGCATTTATTTTTCAAAAATAAAGATATCAAACGGATTTTGGATTTTAATATAAACATTGATGTTGCGCATCACTAATTTCAGACTCGGGCTAAATTATTATTATTATTCTTTAAAAGAAAATTGCAAATCAGTAGTTTATTTGGAAGATAATTTGGACATAAACACTGGCAACCTGCTCATATTACACCATAATTTATCAATATCTTCATAATTGATAACGTGCTTTTATTATTATTATTGTTAAAAAAAATATTTTATAGACTCCATTTTCCAGTATTCGTGGTTTCGGCGAGTTTGTTCCGCCGTTATTGATTGAAACATGATTGAAAAGACTAGATAATCGTTACTGAAATTGGTGCGGGATAGTTCTTTTATTTGGCGCGAGTTGTCTCGCGTTGTTCCTGTACTCGAGAAGAAAAGTGAACCGGCGTTTATTTACATTGAAAAGACAAAATGACGGAAAAGGAAGAAGGAGGTATTAATGAATCGTCAGAGGACTTTGTCATTTATCTTTTTGATTACTTTGGACCGCTATACTATATTAATTGCGGGCTTACTGGCGAAATACTTTTTACTTTGCGATTCCCCACCCCACTCATAATCATCATTGTTTTGTCTCAATTCCCCATAGGCATTAGCCTTGATTAGCATGTGGTTGTGTAACGTTTTTTTTTTATCAGATGTCCATTCATTTTGTCTGGCATATTTGAATATGGCTCTACCTTATGGAATTCTATCTGAATAATTACTATAGTTAATAAGCCTATCTGAAAGCCAATTCCCAATGACAGTGTATTTATTTCATTCGGTAAAATTTGTACATTTTACAGCAGTGATATCAGAAGGGTATGATGATGCTGTCGAAGAACGAGTTATAAATGAAGAATACAAAATATGGAAGAAAAACACCCCTTTTCTTTATGATTTGGTCATGACGCATGCCTTAGAATGGCCAAGTTTGACAGCTCAGTGGTTACCTGATGTTTCAAGGTTGGTGACATTTTCTAGTTGTTGCTGCAGCAGCATGATTGATAGACGCTACAGCTCAATATTATAAGCTATTGGTGGTTTAAAAGATTGTAAAGGAGGGTTTTGAGTCTTTGTATGGCAATATAATGATTCTTGTAATATATTGTTGACAGGTTAAACCATGTTGTCTTGATATCAGTCCTCTGCAAATGAAAATGATTAAATGACCTTGTAGCATTGGATAGACAAATTACAAGAGGTGTATTTGTTGAAATGCTTAAAAGATATAGCTTTTCAGGATGTTTCAGGTATTCATTAACATAAGAAGGAAAGGGGTTGGCTGCAAATGTTTTCATCCTTGATTTGACATTAATTTGTTTAATTTTTCTAGACCAAGTGATAAAGATTATTCCCTACACAGACTGATTTTAGGCACACACACGTAAGTTATCCTTCAAGGTTATTATCAAGTTACTAACAAACCTTTGTAGCCTATTTTCATTAACTGTATTAATGGAATAGAACTGAAGGACATAACATATGTTGTGATAATGGAAATCCTTTCCAGACAAAAAGATGTTGTATTCTGATTAATATTTTCTGAAGATTGTCTGTTTGGTTATGATGTTAATGTTGTTTTTTGTTGCAGATCTGATGAACAGAATCATTTATTGATAGCTAGCGTACAATTACCTAATGATAATGTTCAATTTGATGCTTCACATTATGACAGTGAAAAGGGAGGTAAGTTTGATTTCCTGGAATAATTAAGGAAAATTGTGTTTGGAATCTCATGGATGCTTATCTTTATGTTATTCTGTTTTTCTGCAGAAGTTTATTGAACCTTTCATTTTGTGTTTTACACTTAAAATCTTTGTTTTATTGTTACATTTCATTTTTATGAAGAGAAATTAATAGTCATAATGTCACATTCAAGAGTTCAAGAAACTAATTCTTTCTTGTTTTTCTTACAGAATTTGGTGGATTTGGATCTGTTAGTGGTAAAATTGAAATAGAGATAAAAATAAACCATGAAGGTGAAGTGAATAGAGCCAGATCCATGCCACAGAATCCATTTATCATTGCTACAAAAACACCATCTTGTGATGTCCTGTTATTTGACTACTCAAAACACCCTTCAAAACCAGGTCAGTGTGAATAATTTACAAAATAAAACTTAAAAGGTCACCTAACAGATGTTTCACACTACTGAATTAGATATTGGATGAACTCAAAAATCTAGAGCTATGTGATGTGAGGTTCAATAATTAGGATTTTAATGTGAATTTACTGATTGGTTTCTTGTAGATCCTAGTGGTGAGTGTCACCCTGAATTAAGATTGAAAGGACATCAGAAAGAAGGGTGAGTTATAAGATTATTTTACTGTTTATTTATTCATATGCAAACCTTGAAATAGATTGGTAGAATGGAGGTTGAACTTACAAAAATCTAATGACCTCAAATGTCTTCATTAGCCAAATCTGATGCAGAAAAGTAGGACGTAAAACTGCATTTCATGTGATCAGTTTGTATGTGAACATACTGGCTTCCTGAGGTTGTGTTGTATTAGAGGAGAATGATAACTGTATTATATTTTTTTAGTTATGGTCTGTCATGGAATCCTAATTTAAATGGACATTTATTAAGTGCTTCAGATGATCATGTAAGTAAATTATAGTTTGGTTGTGCTTAGAACGTAAAAGACATGAAATAAGTTCAAAGATCTTAACATGACAGCAGTTAATTTCTACAGGAAGGGGATTAATATTCTATTACAAATATCTTTAAAGGTTGGATTCATTCAAGACTGGTCGAACAAAGAACTAAATTTTAACACACTATTGTTAAAGATTCAGTTGTCCGAGTTGACTTTTTATCGAAATGAGCTCATTACACATGCAAAATATTTTCTAAATGACAGACATAATATGTATTTACTCCAATTGCAGACAATATGTTTATGGGACGTGAATGCTGGAACTAAAGATAGTAAAACAGTTGATGCTCATACAATATTTACTGGTCATACATCAGTTGTAGAGGTAGGTAATATTTTCAGATTAACATTATTTCAGTATTGAACAACAGTACAAGGAAGGACTTGGCTAGTTGACTGCTGACTTTGTGATATTGTTAATGATCTAAATTGAATTGAGTTGAACCTGTTGACATTTTAATTTCAGGATGTTGCATGGCATTTATTACATGAAAGTTTATTTGGTTCTGTTGCTGATGATCAGAAATTAATGATGTAAGTTTAATAGTCATGCTACGTGAAATCAGACTTTTTTTTTTTTGGGGCATACCTTTACCAATTTGTGCATGAAATTTGTACCAAATCTTTGTATTGCTCTAAAAAGAAAAGTTAACTATGCTTAAAGTTACATATTTTCTGTTACATAAGTTACTGTTCTTTTATCCCAAATATAATTCATGATGTCTTATGAATGAATCCACAACTGAGTCTAATGAATATGATAGACAAATTTAGATTTGGCATATACTTGGTCGGTCGAAGCATTTTGTGGTTTTAAAAGCTCACACTTTCCATATTTAATGATTATTATCAAAGGAGAGTGTCAATACTGATATGTTTATTGTTTATTTCAGTTGGGATACAAGATCAAACAACCCTAATAAACCCAGTCATACAGTAGATGCTCATACTGCTGAAGTTAACTGTCTCTCATTCAATCCTTACAGTGAATTTATATTAGCTTCAGGCTCAGCAGATAAGGTAAAAATCATTTAAGATGGTCTTGATAAACCAGTTCTTTCATTAAGATACTGTAGTAATCTAAAATTGACTTTAATACAGTCCTGTGCTTTGAAAGGTCAAAATGCACTGTCATATTAAATTGGCTCTTGTTTTCAAAATGATTTCTTATATTCTGGAAAGCTGATCTATTTATTCATGTAACTAATACCTGATCTATTTATTCATGTAGCTTTGAACAAGATAAAATTAGTTATAATTTTCCTAAATAGGCATATTATCATTTAATAACTTTTTGTGCAATATTTCAGACTGTTGCCTTATGGGATTTACGTAATTTAAAACTCAAACTGCACTCCTTTGAATCTCATAAAGATGAAATATTCCAGGTAAGCTTTCAATATTCTTTTATTAATATTTCATTATAATCCAGGGAGAGGATAACTGATATAAGCGTAGTATATTGTAGGGCATATGTGATCAATCAAAATCAACTTTGACTGATGTGTAACGTGATGAATAAAATATTTAATACAATAAATTATTTCTAGGTACAATGGTCACCCCATAATGAAACTATTCTAGCATCCAGTGGTACTGACAGACGATTACATGTATGGGATTTAAGGTAAGATACGGATTGCTTGCTTAAAATCTACCCCATTTATTTTCTTCAACTCAGTATATTATGATTACTTCTTTCATCCATTCTCTGCAGATGTAATTTTGTGAGTCTATATATTAGGCTGCCTCCTTTTGAACAGTCGTTCAATTTATTTTTTAATGTTTGTACTTTATTATATAGTAAAATTGGTGAAGAACAATCTGCTGAAGATGCTGAAGATGGACCTCCAGAACTACTAGTAAGTGACATGATCCCTTGATAGGATCATGGGTTATTTGAAATTAAACCAGTCAATGACCGAAATTTAAACATTGTTAACATTAATTACCCTTATCCCAAATACCAGGTTTACTTGCTTCAGGGAAACACAGTAGAAATGCATAGTAGTTTCGGATGTGTTGGAAAGACAAAAATTACTTATTTGAGGCTGATTTTTATTCATTACAGTTTATACATGGTGGACATACAGCTAAAATATCAGATTTCTCATGGAATCCTAATGAACCCTGGGTAATATGTTCAGTATCCGAAGACAATATCATGCAAGTCTGGCAAATGGTAAGGCACTTTTCCAACCACCTTTTTCTCGGGGGCATAGAGATTTTTCTGCTCCAGTTAGGGTTTATATTAACAAAGATATGGGTAATAATTGGGGATACTGAGAATGTCTGCCAGGGAGAGAGTTAATGATTGGGCCCTGAAAGGTGTGGCTGAAATACATTTATTTATTTGTAGACCAAAGCCATTTAAAGCAGCCTTAAGGCTTATATAATTTGTGGATAATCTTTATTCAAGATAAATGGCATTTATGTATTTTTTTTTTTTTTATATTAGGCTGAGAATATCTATAATGATGAGGAACCAGATACACCTGCTAGTGATCTAGAACAAACAGCTTCCTAAATATACTAATTACTGTATATAAACATTGTGCTATAAACTATTATACCATTCATTCATCACAGCTTTAGTCAGTGTCGAGTTATATTGTGATGGCGCGTGCTCTGTAAATAACATAACCAATATCATCAGTTTGGACACATTAAAATTTCATTATTTTGAAATTGTGACTTGTCGCCATTATATCAAAAACTCGACTACAACATGGATTTTATGGTGTGTGGATCAGAGAATTCAAAATGTGTAACATATTTAGATTAGAATCAAAGAAATCTAGATTCATTAGTTATCTTTCTTTTCTTTTATTCTATTAGTATGTTCTTTATTAATCATGGTACATAACAGACATTGGTAGATATTATAATGTAAAATAACTGATTTTGACCCAGTCTGATGTCAACTTGATATTGTCAGTATTAGAAAAATGTCAGTGTAAACTATTGGTGTGAAGAGAAGATAGTGTGAGAGATTAGATAAATGATGAGCAGATTTTAAAATTAACTTTTTCTTATTTTAACATTGTGGATCAAAGTATTCCTTTTATGAAAGTTTGGGTTGAGGTATATAGTCTACCCACCAAAATATATCTGACAAGACCTTCTCCCTGTCTGACTGGTCAAATTGTAGTTTTACAAAGATATTTTTTTCTCAATTAACTTCTGTGTGCTGTCATTCATTTAATAAACATATATCACCTTATTGTAGTTAATATCTACTTTATTATCAGTGAAAACATGAGGCTTAAAATATATCACAAGCTTTTCAATTAACTCTATTGTACAGGGGCAATAGATATGCAACACTGGGAATTCCCTTCCTTGCCTGCTGCTCAGGCTATCTTCTTTCATGTCTGAATCCAAGTATGAAACGAGCCAGCAGAGTCAACCATGCTTTTCTGCCCAATGTAGAGTTTTTTTTTTCAATCAGGATAGGCCACAATGATGCTGTGTGTAAAAATGCCCTTAAAAATGATATATTGTAACTGACATTTCTTGTCATGTGAAGGCAAACATTTGAATGTGAATTTTAAACAAAAATTCCCTTTTTATGCCCTTCATAATACAGCCCCTCATTATATTCAATGAACTTGGCCACATTTATAAAAAAACCCTGATGAGTATTTACCATTATTTATAAGAATCCTGGAAACTATCTGACACTAGAGAGATATAGACGATTTTGATTATGTCTGATCGACCCTTTAACTGTAATTTTAAGTTTTGCGGATTCGGATCTGGATATGTCAGCATACATATTTGGTCATGTAGAGCCATGCCAGATCACTATTAGAATATTTTATGTGTCTGGATAATCTAGTCAAAAGTTCCAAAATATTGGTAATTGGATGAGTTTATTTATAGTTTGCAGGGGAGAAATTTAGAAGACTGTTCCATTGTTTAAGATCCAAGATGTCGAACAAAACAAAGTAGTAAAAAGGTTAAAAGAAGAAATATTATTTGCTAAAATGTAGAGATGAAGGTAATCACAATTGACTTGTTGCTGAGCCTTTAAAATACAATTCTTTTATTCTGAAGGATGACACTGTGAGTGTGACTTGCCTGGCTGACATTGCTTATTTCTTGTATGGGGTCATTAGTCCATAACATCTGTCGTTATTCCAGCTATAGTTAAAGTTATAAACTGGAGTAGGGTAAGAAAAAAAAGGCTCTGTGACCCTTCAAAAAAACCCATTAAAACAGTTTTGTTGTCCCTACTTTTGCCAAAAATATCTATTCAGATGTGTCTAGGGGCATTGAGGGAGCTATTTTTTTTACAACCCTACAGGCTGCTAAGACATCATGCACCTCCAAATATGTCTCAAGAGCTTCTAAAAAGACATGGATTATCTGTTGGTTAGGGTATGTAGTGGACTATTTGCGATTAGACCAAACTTCCGTTACCGTATGTTTTTTTCATATTTTTAATATAGCCACTTCAATTATAGGATCTTATGACAGCCCTCTTAAAGGTTCGTCAAATTAACCTTTTGATCTAACTTGATGACGTCTGCTTTTATCAATCATTTATCAGTAGGCATGTATTGTTATTTGTGTGAACAGGTAGATCAAGACGTGAAATTAATTTGGTGTGTCGAAAAAAACAAAGAATATTTCTTCTCCTCCTACAATTTTAAACATTCTTTATTGATCTGGTCCCAGGTAGGCTATCTGATTTTTCTTTTGAAACTTTTGTAGGCTTAGGGATAGCCCTATTGATTTGGTGAGGTTGGGTCAACAACTTTATCTATCTTTTAGATTTATCAAAGAGATAAAGAGAAACATTTAATTTTAACTAAAATGTAGGCCATGTTGCAGTTTATAGTATCTATTGTGAACTAACTAAAACATAGTGCAGTCTCTAAAAGCTAGAAATGGCAGGGAAATACTTTGTAAGATAGCAGCATGACATAAAGAAAAGCTTCAAGTGAACTGGAGTAAATAGTAATGTCTTTTTGTTGTAAACCCTAAATGGAAAAGTAGTTTACATTATGTACCACAGTTTTTATAGAAATGAATAGGTTGCTATCTTTATTTATTATATGGGAACATGTATGACTATTGTGTACATCATTTCCATATATAAGAATTTATTCATTTAAAGTTGTGTTGCCCTCATTTTTAAAAAGTAGCTTAAGCTTTTTTAATGATATATTTTGAAAAGAAACATGTTATCATGTGCTTTTTGTGCTTAAAGCCATAAAGCTGAATTATATCTCAGTTTTCCAGCTCTGTTTAAAATGATTCAATTAAGATTAACATTATCAGCTGATACATCTCATTTTTAGCACCAAAAACCAACAGTGAATGTGTATGAATGGATTAATTATATTATTTAATTAAAATATCAATGGTTCAAATTTTCAGCGTTAAAATCGATACAAATAAATGATAGTATTAATACTGAATAATATTACAGTATATTGTATATCCCTTAAAGATTCTTTCGAGATTTTCTTAAGATTAAACTTTCATCATTAAGCTAGATTCAATCGGGTTATTTGAACAGGCCATGTGACTGAAGTACATTTTATTAATGTATATAGTTGTCGATATGTATGTATTAAAAAATATTAGAGTGAAATTCCAATGTGTAAAATTAAAGGATGGACTCTGTGATGTTCTATGATTTCAACCAGTTATTATCATCTCTTAAGCAGATAAGTGTATTACTTTGACATGAGCTTATGACATTATGTCTTGGTGACTTGGCAAGTGGTACACTGAATGGCATTATCATTATTAGTTATATGAGTAGTAGAAAATGCAATGCAAAACTCAATTCAATTTCATTTCATTTGGATCATATTTGTCTTTTATGAATTATACCACAGTTTCTTTATTAAGAGGTGAACAAAGTCAGATTTTTTAGATGGCTATATCCCTTTGAACTACTTTACTGAGGTATGAACCTTTTTCAAAAAAATCAAATTAAAAATAAGGATGTTGACACTTCAATTCTAATTTAAAATAACTTAAAAGCACAGAGGTTTTTTCTGTAGAAAAATGTACTTCAATGATATTTAAAGGTTACAGCACACTCCAACTTGAAGTCTTTGATATTTACCTGAAAGCACAAGTCAAAGTGAAAGTTTTTGTGTGTAAACAATGAAAGTGATGAGAACAATGTAAATGACAAGGGAAAAGAGACTACAGGCTAGGTGGGGTGATAATTACCTGACTATCATTCTGACAGACTTAAACACTTTAACAACTGATAATGACAGGGCGATAGCATTACCCCCACAGCCTCTTTTGTTTATTTTTAGGGGATAATGTCACAACCCCTATCTATCAATTCTGATCAGGAGAGTTTCGTTTCGGAAAGAGGTTAGAATAGTGGACCCTAGTGGAAGCCTGAGGTAAGTGAAGTTTTTCTTAGGAACATCTATTTTTTAAGAAAATAGGTCAAAGAGATTGTTTCAGTCCCTCACACTTACAGCTATATGAAAGAGTAATTATTTGCTTAGTTGATGATCTCAAAATTATTCTCTTTCATTTATGTTGAGAACTGTCCTTGGTTGGTTCTGAAGATATTCACTGTTGTGGTATTAATTAATATTTTGAAAACTACTGAGGAGAACTTAGTATGAATGTATTAGGAAATTATGTCATGGTTTCAAACTGAGATTATAAATTTTCTAGATAAAAGACTTGTAAAAGATTTTGTGAAAATTTGTATCATTTTCAATATTTAATGTTAAATAACATATTCTGACCTAACACTTTATCCATGGATAACTTTCAAAAGAATTTTTTCCAATTTACTTTTATTTATTTTTAAATTATAATCTTTTGAATTTGGGTAAAATCCTGTATCTTGTCATTAAAACCTCTAATTTTCAAGTGTCAATACGTTTTGTGTGGATACATTGTATTTCTGGTTGATAAAATGTATCGTGGTAAGATTTGCTTCTATCTTGAAACTTTTTAAGTTTATACATACTCACACTCCTAGTTATATAGAAATATTTATTTTAGCATTGTCAATATTTCAAAAGAAACTTCAGTTCAAAGATTAGACAATCCCATTAAATTTAACTATCGAGAGCCTAATGAACAATAAACTGTGATAGCATATAAAATGAATCAACTTTCTTGCTATTGACCACTCAGATAGGAGAAAATTTGAAGGAAACTTTGCATATAGCCAATTTTGTTTAAGATAGACCCTAAAAATTAGTCTAAAATGTCTAAATATGTCCACTTAGTGTACTTAATCCAGGTGTATGTGTTTCCTAAGGATTTCATAGATTAAGATCATTAACTTATATAAAGTTTTATCTTATATCTGTATAAGGATAAAACAATTCTTGATTTTAAAGCTAAGGTATGTGTCTGTTTTCTGATATAGACAAATATTAACCCCAATTCATTAGTCGAAATTGTGTCATCATAGTTAAAATAAGCAAGATGCTCGGTTTATGGGGTAGGGTAGGACCAGAGTCTTAACTAGTTAAACTTAACGACTTTTATCATCATACTACTAGATATTTATCTCATGGATTGATGTAACTTTATCAAGGATTAACACCCAGCTTATAATGAAACAGAAAATTACCCCTACTCAGTATATTGCAATATTAAAAAAAATGGATTCTAAGGTTCTCTGGCCTTGATAATTTATCAGAGTCTCTTATAGCTTTAAATTCAACCATTCTGATTTTCTAAGGGTATTTGTAATTCCAGAAAAAAGATTATGTTGACACGTTTGCAAACAGAAACCACAGATGTTTATTGGAAATCTGAGTGGTCAATGCAAATAGAAGCCAGAAGTGTCGCTGTTGTAGCTCTCTATTGTGCTATAAAGTGATCAAATTGTTCTTTTGTTGGTTCAATATATATCAAATAATTTTATATATTGGCCTTAAATTGTCTTCTCTATTCTAATAACTATAGATTAAACACAATGATTCTTCACTCATAAGCAAGTTATAACTTGGTATGTTCTCACACTTGACTGTTCAGTTCGAAAAGGTAATAATCATTTATCATTCAATCACTAACAAACTGTTTAGTTTATATACCTTCATTAAGGCTCAACAATTCATGGACAAGGTGCATGGTCCAAGCATAGAGTCAAATTTCAGACACAAACCTTCTTTTAAAAGTTTTTAAAGGGATATTTCGCTTTTTTGTAAAAAGTTTACATTATCAAAAAAATCTTAAATTATACCTGAAAATATTTCTAAAGTATGCTATTTATATCTATGTATCTTCTTGATCAAACTGAATTGGTTTTAAAAGGGTTAATTAAAAACGGAGAGTACTAATTGTTAATTAAGCAGTATGACCTAGTTTTGGTTTTTGACTTAATAATGACTCGATATTATTAGTTGAAACCTTAAGAATCAGGGTGACATATTTCTCTAGAATTAGGCATTAATTTTACTAGTATCTGTTCAGTAGTTTTCAAACAGCTTCAAAAACGCATAAAGAATTTAAAAACCTTACGTGAAAATTAACGGCTGAATATTTTTAGTTAAAACTTCCAGATACATTAAAGGACATATTTGTTTAGATTTTGGTGTATAGTTTTTGCAAATATTTAGTCTACGCCTAACCACATAGCAGACAACAATCAACTCTCTGAATAGGGAGATAAATTAAAATCTAGTGGGATCAATCAACCCTGATTAGCTTGCAGACGTCAAGTGAGTCTTGTGATATTGAATGTTGATGGAATGATTAAAGATGCATGTATATTTAAAGGGATACATCCACCTAGATTTCCCTCGATTTTTCTTGCAATTTTTGTCAGAAGGAATACAATTACGTAGGAAAATAACATAAGGCTGTATTCCTAGATACATAATATTATAACTGTTGTCACTTTGTTTTTATACAAAGTTATTTGATGATATCCCTTTAATGATCTCAACTTGTCAATAGACTTCAGTAAAATTGTTTACACTTGAAAGACTTTGTGATGAAACATTCTTGTAAAGTGTTATTTGACATTAGTTTGTGGAAATGTTGAATTTGTGTGTGTTTGTTTGAGTAATTGTAAAACACATTTACAATGGTTTTAGTCACTCGCCGGTAGTAAAGTTTCAATTTTGTTAGTCTTGTTTCTCACATTGTTCAAATATTACACAGTAAGACTACGATGACACTGTCCAAATATCTTGCGTCATTTTCTTTTTCTTTCATTCTGCTGAATCAGCTTGTTTTATTTCTAAAAAAAGTGTATAGTTTTGTTGCTTAATGAACAGGATTGAAGATTGATGTATCATGGTCCTTGTCCAATGTCTGTTATCAGATTCACATAACGTCAGTCATTTGAAGTAAACTCTGGCAATGAGACTTTTAGGTTGTCATCGATTTATGAAAATAAATGAGAAATTTTATTTTAAAGAAAATAATTTTTTGACTATAATGTGGACAAATGACAGGCAATTAAACATTTGTTTAAATACTTTAAATTCAAATAACAGAAATCACTTTAATAAGGGAGTAGATATCTATAGATAAACACATGCACTTAAAATAAAATCTACATGTGATTGCTTTGTTCAATAGAGATGAACTGAAAGGAAATCCGTTATACAGTCTATTAGATGACAATTGTAGACCAACACATGTGAGCCTCCATCAACATTTTTAAGAGTGTTCCAATTAGAGTACACATATCCTGCCTTGAATATAATACAGCTGATGAATTAAAGCACTTAAATGTAATTCTATTGTCAGTCACCTGTATTAAGATAATCCAGATAGTATCAGTTTCCATAGCAACATTATTGATCAGTACCACTTCCTTGAATCTAATGTAAAGTTCTATTGGATTGGCTAATATTCTAGATCTAGTTCACTTCCTAAGATTCACAATTACAGTTGATCACAATAAGAATGATATGAATAGAGAATTATTCTTATGATTCCATAAAAAACAGGATTATTTTCATTTTTAATAATCTTCTGTTTCATAATGCAAGGTAGACTTTTCAATGATGTGGCTGGAATCATGATTAAAACTGAATAATTTTTTTTTATAAAAGTCAGGCAACTTTGAATATGATTTTTCTTTTCATTTTTCAGCTGCAAGTTATTATTTGAATGTTAGGACACAGAGGAAGTTAAGAAAGAAAAAAATGTCAGGGAAAGAAAAGAGCGGGAAACCGCTTGATGAAGCAAATGAATTAGAAAAGAAAAATGGAGGATTGAAATCAGCAGAAGATGCTTTCTACACAGAAGTCAATGACACTGAAATAGAATATGAGATTAAGGATTCAATGGACACAGAACCCAAAAAATGTGCAAAATGTCGTACTTGTTGTTTTAACTGCTGTCGTCCATGTTTGACTTCAGAAAATCCATTATCAGTAGACCCCTCATGCTGCAGCCGTTTTAAGTTTGCGTTTATGTGTCCACCTCATGGGCGATTAGGGGCATTATTATTGTGTATATTGTTATTTGGATTATGGTTTGGAGTGATGTATTTTTTAACGGGTAAAGAAATGTTACCAGGGGGTAATTTGTTTGCATTATGTACGTTATTTATTGCTTGTTGGTGTGGAGGATATTTATTCAATTTGATTAATCTTCCATCTTTGTTAGGTAAGTTAAATTTTGTACAGTTAATTTTTCATTTGGGATATGTAAGGTCTGAAAATTAATTAAATTAAATGAATTGAATTAGGCATTGCCTTAAATACTAATGAAATCAAATTTACCCAATGGAATATAAGTGCTCTTTCATGGTCTTTCTAATTAGTTCCATCACAGAGGAGGGTGATTTTTGGTAAAAAGGGCCTAATCATTTCAATATTTGTTTTTGAAGGTATGTTAATTGTTGGGGGTATGTTAGGTAATGTACCATATATCAATGTTGCTAGAGATATACATACTCTTTGGTCTATTGGTGCTAGGTAAGAATATTATTTAATTCATTTTGGTACCGTACCACTCTTTTACCATTCTTACATTCCTTGACTGCAAATAATTAAAGAGCTTTCTAGCTATATAACAATATCTTATATAGACACAGCTTTATGGAACAACAATCACTTGTTAAAATGATATGCACCGTTTCAACATGTTTCCCCTTGATCATGAAATTGTTCTCATTATTTGAATGTGTCTTGCAAGAAATGGTGAAACAGCATTTGAAGAATCAATCTTAATCCATTTACTGCTTTCTTTTTTTATGAAATGAATAAGTCAGATTGAAAGATAGAAATATAAAATATGGATGTCTAATTAATCTTCTGTTTATTTTTTTCAGACAAATAGCATTAGCTGTGATACTAATTAGAGCAGGACTAGGTCTGGATCCTAAAGCACTGAAGAAGTTATCTTTTGTTGTTATACGATTGGCATTCTCTCCATGTCTCATGGAAACACTGACAGATGGTTTGGTGTCCCACTTTCTTTTGGGATTACCATGGGAATTTGCTTTAATGTTAGGGTGAGTAGCTTTGGTGTTCTTCTTTGGCTTTCATATTTTGCATTAACATGAATTGTCCAAGTAGTTTCTGTACAAAATAAATCAAATCTTGACATCAAGATTTAACCAAATTTTTAAAAATGACCTAAACCATTTCATTATCATGAAATCTGTCTAGTTATATCCTCACTATAATATCTATGTATTCCCATTGTTCTATTATTGTAGGTTTGTTTTGGCAGCTGTATCACCAGCTGTAGTTGTACCCTCATTATTGAATCAGTCTAGTTGTATCCTCACTATAATATTTATGTATCTCCATTGTTCTATTATTGTAGGTTTGTTTTGGTGGCTGTATCACCAGCTGTAGCTGTACCCTCAATATTGAATCAGTCTAGTTGTATCCTCACTATAATATTTATGTATCCCCATTGTTCTATTATTGTAGGTTTGTTTTGGCAGCTGTATCACCAGCTGTAGTTGTACCCTCATTATTGAATCAGTCTAGTTGTATCCTCACTATAATATTTATGTATCTCCATTGTTCTATTATTGTAGGATTGTTTTGGTGGCTGTATCACCAGCTGTAGCTGTACCCTCAATATTGAATCAGTCTAGTTGTATCCTCACTATAATATTTATGTATCCCCATTGTTCTATTATTGTAGGTTTGTTTTGGCAGCTGTATCACCAGCTGTAGCTGTACCCTCAATATTGAATCAGTCTAGTTGTATCCTCACTATAATATTTATGTATCCCCATTGTTCTATTATTGTAGGTTTGTTTTGGCGGCTGTATCACCAGCTGTAGTTGTACCCTCATTATTGAATCAGTCTAGTTGTATCCTCACTATAATATTTATGTATCCCCATTGTTCTATTATTGTAGGATTGTTTTGGTGGCTGTATCACCAGCTGTAGCTGTACCCTCAATATTGAATCAGTCTAGTTGTATCCTCACTATAATATTTATGTATCCCCATTGTTCTATTATTGTAGGATTGTTTTGGTGGCTGTATCACCAGCTGTAGCTGTACCCTCAATATTGAATCAGTCTAGTTGTATCCTCACTATAATATTTATGTATCCCCATTGTTCTATTATTGTAGGTTTGTTTTGGCAGCTGTATCACCAGCTGTAGTTGTACCCTCATTATTGAATCTGTCAGATCGTGGATATGGAGTAGATAAAGGTATACCAACACTAGTGATAGCGGCTGCTAGTGTAGATGATGTTTTAGCCATAACAGGATTCGGTGTCCTCATTGGTATAGCTTTCTCATCAGGTAAGCTAGATCCTTGGATAGGGACATCATTCCTTTGTGTAGGCACGTTTTGATTTGATTTACTAACTTAATTTAATTTTATTAGTTAATCAACAATTTATGTCAATTGCACAAGGCATGGTTAGGCGAAAATGGTTTGTATCAACTGATAAAGCAAATGTTGAAACCACTATTTTGCTATAAAATGGTACCTTTACTGTGAGAAATATAAAGTTGTAATTATTAAAGAATGATTTAACCATGAGTTTTAAATGGGTAAATATTTTAAATTTTGTTCTGTAGGTAATTTGGTGTGGACATTATTTAAAGGACCATTAGAAGCTTTAATAGGTATTTGTTACGGTGTAATCGCAGGAATTATACTCTGGTTTATACCTCAAAAATCTAGTGTAAGTATAAAATATCAATCTCAAACTAACGGAGCATGGTTCTTAAATTGTCAGAATACTTCAAAGACAGGCTCTGACCATGGCATCTATAATAAGAGATGTCAATAAAAGTCGACCAAAATCTCTGGTAGCGACATTCCAAATGTGCTTCTGCCTTTTAATCGAGATTTAAGTCATAGAAATTGACAATCAAACTGATTGACCACATCATTTGGCCTTTTTAGACAAGGAGGACTTGAGCTCTCAAAATACCACATCTTAGCATATTGTGAACTTACATCCTCATGTTGATGTGGGTGAATGGTATGTTTATTGCTTTTTTGTAATAGATGATTTCTTGACTGTGAGATCTCACCCATCTGGTTTGTTTTTTTTTTTCTAGAAAAATCTACATCTTTTGAGATGCACTCTATTGATGGTTGGTGGATTATTTGTCTTATTTGGATCAAGAGCAGCAGGTTATGCTGGTGCTGGTCCACTAGGGTGTCTCACAATGCCTTTTGTTGCTGCCTTTAAATGGCGTCAAGAAAGAGTTCCAGGAGTTGCAGTAAGTTCTTTATCTTTATACATGAGATGTAGTTCTCTTTCTCCTATTCTCGTTGAAACAAGATTGATTAAAGAATAATCATGTTGGAAACAAGGTCAGAGGTTTGTTTGAAATTCAATCTCGCAAAAATAGATTGATAAAGCAAGATTCATTCACAATCATTCCATGTATAATCCATATTAATTTTAGGTAGCATTTGGTTGTCCTGTGCCATTTATTCATTATTAATTATGACGTTTCCGTGATGTGTTTGATAATCAAGTCTTAAATATTTGTTTGAATTAAACAGGATCCAATAGAATCTGCTGTAGGTGTTTTATGGATGATATTTCAACCATTATTGTTTGGTTTGATTGGAGCTCAAGTTAAAATAGAAGAAATAGAAATACAGACAGTAGGTCAGTTAGATTTTTTTGACTTTTAATCTTCTTTAGTTAGATTTATTTATGTGATTTGATGTCCTTTATGGAGTAGCACATCCATAAAGTATAAAATATGAGATTGCTGTTGCTGCAAGTTTTAACATGGCACTATCACTTAATCAAGCTGGCAACAATTTTCAGGATACACATGTAATGTTTAGAAATGTGTTTTGATTACTTCAGGTCTTGGTATAGCTACTTTATTTATTGGTCTTGCCATTAGAATGGTCACATCATTTGTAGCTGTACAGCGTACTGAATTAAATCTTAAAGAAAAATTTTTCATTCCATTTGCTTGGTTACCTAAAGCTACTGTCCAGGTAATGTACTTTCAAAATTACGTGTTGATTGGATTATTATTTCCTTTCCTTCAATCCTCCATGGTTTTGTGTGAGTTATTTCCCTTGAGTTTTGAAAGGTGTTATATGAGTTATTCCCCTTTAGTCTTCATTGTTTAATATATAGAACTACATGTAGAAATTTTAGAACAAAACTCTTAAAAAACATGTTGTTGTAACTCAGAGTTTCACACTATGCGATCTTCGGACATCTGACCTATATAATTCAGCCTGCGTCTCTACTGAAGTTGGACAAGTAGAAAATGTTCTCATGTCTACACTTCGATTGCAATAACACTTGAGTTGAGTTGAGTTACATGATTTTTTGGGGTTCTATTTTAATATACAGATCTACATGATTAATATGACTTCTTTCCCTACCTTTACATTTCCCAAGTTATATGATCAATATGTTACAGAGTCCTCATTTCCATTTCAGGCTGCTATTGGTGGTGTAGCATTAGATACAGCCACACATTTGAATGATAAAGTCAGAATGGAATATGGTGAACAGGTAAAGTTGATTTTTGTATCTCATTGAATTGTGTAACACTCTATCTACTATTAACATAGTCTAGATTTAACAGTGTAACAAAATATGGTTCTAATTATCTAAGTAACTTCCATTTGTGAAATCCATTGTTTGGACTCTAAAACCCTAAGAATAGATTTTAAGCCTATATGACACTGATGCTAATGTGTAACTTGGTGAAAGTCAGTAGTGAGTGAGTACTTTTGAAATGATATTAGGCTGAGGGGTGTATTTCCTTTCAATTCCCCAGAGAATGATATTGAGAGTTTGCACTAGTGCAGGTTCTCAGTCCTTTCTTTAGTATTTTATAGTTCAAAGATTTGACAAGGAATATTTTTGTCTATTTTCAGATATTGACTTTAGCTGTATTATCAATATTAATAACAGCTCCTATTGGATCATTTTTGATAGCTGTACTTGGTCCTCGCCTCTTAGCCAAATATAAACCTGGTAATCAGGTAGACAAGTCTGATATAGAGGGAGTAGAAAATGATGAAAGCAGTAACACTAATAATGCCTTAAACTTAAATGAGGGTGATATTAAAGCTATCCCTGTTATAGAAAACAATAATGAAACCACTACAAGAATGTGATGGAAATTCTTATCTAGTCAATTCCTACAATAGGCTACATAGGCTTGTGATAAAATCTTCCAATCTGATTTGAACAAACTTAGTCAGAAATCATGACTGGCCATGAAGACCTGATGTTTGTCAACACTGTCAAACATATTAGAGATAACATAGTTTATTATTGGTTTTTTAGATATAAAAATTTTCCAGCTGAAATATTGATGGCAAACTTTATCAATCGATACAAGTACTAGTACTGTATTTGTATGTGGAAGATTTTTCACTGCAATATTTTATATAGGCATTATTATTGTGTCATTTGAGTAACAAAGAGACAAGGAGGTCAAGAAAAGCCAATCAAAAATATCAAGATATATCCATTGAAATACCAAATGATAATCCTTCCATAAATAATTAGTATATGTCCATCAAAATATCATGTATTTTATCAATGTAACATGTAATCTTTATTTTAATCTTCCATTATGATATAATATAATATATGATCCAGTGTATGTAATATATATATTAATTCATCTGAAAAAAGGTATTAGTGTGTAGTAGGCTTAGTCACTTTCATTTAATCCCTTTTGCAAAATTTTCTGTATATACAAAGTAGTCCAATAACATCTCAAAATTCTTCTTAAAATAAATGGGATTTTCTGCATTCTTATAAGTTCTTTGGACTTCGAAAATAAATAAAATAAAATGTATGATATATAACGCTTTGATCAGATTACAACACTAATCTATCTAATAAAATATTGCAACAGTAAATATATTCAAATGAAATATCAAATTACAGATACTCAGTGTGTTATATGCTCTGTTAAATTTGCTGTAAATATGTTTTTTGAATGTATATGAAATGATTTGACATCATTTTAGCTGAAAGGGTATTTCACATGAATTGTCCTCAATAAAGTCTGTATTTTTGTCTACTTTGTTTTTTTCCCTTAGTGATTGTAAAGGGTTAGGGGGTAGGTACTGATGATTCATTGCTTACAAACATAATGATTCTGAGTTCAGAGTTGAAATCATGGTTCTGATATGTTGTAAATCCGTATCAGGACAGCTAGGTTAGCTTTCTAGTAAACACATGACTTTGCGTGTAATCAACCTTACTGGACACTGCCAGTTTTATTATAAAAAATAATTTATTTCCCTCATTATAAACAAAATATAACAATAATAATAGAAACAATTTCATTTGACTAATATTTGATATTGTTTTGTTCAATATAAATAAATTTGTTCAAAATGCATATCTGAATTAACCTCTTAAAAGTCAAATTAAAAGTATGTACAGGTTTCACAATAACAAGAATTGTTACAATATCATTACCCCTTCTGTACATCCATTTTTAATTTCTAGTAACATTTTACAGTCATTTTGGGTTTTTCTCATTCAATATGGGAAAAGGGTTTAATATTTAATGAGCTTTAATTTATATAGATATTTCAAAATATACCACAAAAATCAGTGCATCAATGGACATAAAAAAAAGCTTTGAGTACAATCTTGAATACATGAAAAATTTTCAATATCATAAATCAAAAAATTGATGTGGTTTATTACTATGGGCTATGTTTTCTTGTTATTTTCTTGAGTAGAATTGTTTCAAAGCAATTTTCTCACTGATAAATGGTTGAGAAACTGAACAATAGATCACAAAATGGTTTAAGAAGATTATATCATCTATAAACATGATAGCTTGTCAGGCAGGTAGCACACTACCAGCTATCAGAAATGATAACAAAGTCTGTAGCGGTTTAATATGTGATACCAATCATCAGATTGTTACTAATTTTTACTAATTACTAGTTTTATTGAGACTTTAAATTTCTTCAAGATCGGATAAAAAATGTAGTCTCTATAAGGCCTACAAGACAAACTAGACGCATTGAATTGAGTCAAGGGCAATAACTTCCAAACTATTCATCCAATTATTGCCATTTTTGAACTTGAGATCTCATCCATATATACATGCATACCAAGTTTCATTAAGATCAGATAAAAATTGCAGCCTTTATCATGCATACAAGCCAAATTTAACGTGTTTTACTAAGTCAAGGGCAATAAATCTGAAACCATTCATCCGATTATTACCAATTTCGAATTTGACCGAGATCTCATCAATATATACATGCATACTAAGTTGCATCAAGATCAGATAAAAGCTGTAGTCTCCATCACGCATACAAGAAATGTGGACGGATGGACGGACAAGGGCGACTGCAATATACATCCACATTTACTACTAGTGCTATTGGTGATCCCATCAAAAAGTCTTCTGTGATTGGTTATTGCTGCCTGCTTTTTCTTTTTGGAATCACCATGTGGGCGTAAAAAAATTATAACAGAAAAATCTCATTATCTAGTCAGTATTTGTCATTCAATCAAACAGAACCACCATTTTGGTTTTGCCAATGTATTTGTGTTTGATTGCTATGTCAGAGACCAGACCAAATATAATCTTAATAAAAATAATCTAAAACAATTTTTAACAATAAATAGCAATGTTAATCCAAATTCTATAATAAACAATAAAATGTTGACAATCATAAAATATAAATTATAAACCTATTTACATCTTTGGATGAAAGTATTTATTTCATGGATTGAAATACCTTGAATTATAGAATGAAAAACTATATTTGTATATAGCCGTGAACTATATTCTCTATATTGAAACAAACTTTAAACTTATTATCTATATCAGAAAATGGAAACTATCTATCCTGTACCGGAACATGGTGATAAACCCCATACATAAAAACATCAGTTTAATTGCACAATAAATTTTGAAATATGCCTTACAAGTGTAACATAACCCACTTTTTCATCCGATCATCATTTGCTAAATTCTATATTCAACAGCTCACTTAATTGTAAAAATTTTACAATCATGTAACTATTTGACTGAAGCTAGTATTAGTTTCCCTTCGTTCCCTCTGCCAACTCTGAACCACTAAAATTTTACTTAATATCATCTTTTTTAACTTGAAAAATTTTTTTTTTAATGCAGTTTCAATGTAAGAAATATTTCATGATGTGTGTAGTTTAACTAGTAACTGACTGTGTAACAGAAACACGTGGTGGAAAGTTGAAGCAGTACTACTATATTTATCTACACACAATTAACCCTAAAATAACCAAAGAAACATATCAAGATTTGGATGAATGTTCAATAGTTATAAGGTTACCATTCGTCTCATGTACCACATTACCATTGGACACATGACCCTTAGAAATTTCTTTCAAATCTTTAGCAGTTGACATACTAATAATTTTCTTTGTATCACATGACCTCTTTTTTCCATCCTGATATTTAGAGAATATATAAAAAATTCCACCTGAGAGATTCATACCGATTCCAATATAGGTTGGTAAATTGTGACTGATACCACCAAATGTAACCAAACCTATCATTGTTTGTGCTAGAGCTTTCAGTCCTCCAACTACACTTGTTGTTAAAGCAGACGTCAAACCAGCACATAGAAACAGTGAGTAGTTCAAAACACAGCCTATACTGATTGTCAAAAAGAATAACAAAATAAAACGAAAGTCACCAAAATAAGGATAATCCCACACCTTAAACATTTCTTGGTTAATAAAAGAAAACATTAGTAGTAATGGTAAAGTATTGTAACTATTTAATTGTAATGTTTGGGCTGTTGTCATATTTTCTTCTGAGAACTTCTGTACTAAGATGAGATAAATGGCTTGTGTAAAATTGCTTAAGGCACCACAAAAGTAAGCAACAGGATTAAAACTTAAATCACCATATCCTGTAAGTAAATAGTAAGAATAAGTTATATAGTTTCATTTGAGGTCTCAAAACATTTTTATACGAAAATTTGACTTCAGACATACAGATTTAATTAATATACAACTCCAGAGTATTTATGGTTCAATGGCTTATTATAATAAGTTTTTCCGTTTCATATACATAATCATCTTGCAAATGGATGCACATGGGTGATCAACCATAAAGTAGGCTAATCAAACAATTATAGGACACTGTAACAAATCAATAAAACAGTAACTTACCTGCAATAAAACAACCAAGACTCAGACAAAGTACAGACCCAACAGTTAATTTGGATGGCAACTGTCTTTTTAACAAAAAATATGACAAAACCATGGTTGAAATTGGTACACATCTTTTCAATACACCATACATAGCAATATTCATATGAGATAAGGCACTAAGTGCAAGTAAAGCATTCATTCCATAAAAAAATGCCGGCCAGAAAAAAGATCTTCCTCTTTTGATTGTATATTGTGGTAGGTCTATCATATCGATCAATTTTAAAAATTCTAATAAAATAATTGTAAAAATCATTTGAGCAACCATAACTATCACAGGGTAGTCAAATTCATAAGTATACATCAATGTTTTACTAATGAATGCTGTGGCCACAGAACAACAACCATAAAATGCTGCTGCACTCACAGCTTTAATAGACGTGGAAACATTATTTATACTTTCTGATGTTATTTCTATTCGTACTTCTTTCTTTTCAGCCATATTTCAAGTTAATATCACAGACTTTTTGTTTCAAATTTAAATTCACTTGGTCAAACAGATCTGAAAAAGAAATTAACAAAAATTTACAAAAACAAGTTTTCTTCATCAATTTAAAATTGAAATGTATTTCTTTATAAAAGTCTCAATTCATAGGATTGTCCCAAATTAAGATTTTTTGAAAAAATTGAATTCACCATGTGAACTACAGTCATACTTATACTTGCCTTCAGCATGCAGTCAAAGGAATGCTCAAAAGTGGCTGCTAAGCAGTTTACTGCACACAGTTAAGAATGACAAGTTGATATTTTGTAAAATACATCCATTTTCTAACAATATAGGCCTAATAACAATCAGAATAGCATTACTGATGAATGAAAATAATCTGTATGGCAACAATATAATATTGTTTGTTTGGTTTATTTTTATGCCACTCTGCAAATCTGTTTTACATTTTTTAAATTTTGATGGCTTTTTTCCTGGAAGGTTTAAAAAGGCATGTCTGTTTTTGGCCAATTGATATTTATATCAATATTCATCTAGTTTGCAATCAAATAGGATTTAAAAGCTTGTTGCACGATTACAAATAAATACTTAAAGAGTTATATTCATGGATTATAGACAAAGGATATACTGTTTGGCAGTAATTAATTGTGAGTTTAATTTATCCAATTAACAAGAATTATTGACAATTAGCTGCTTATTGGAGGCTGACATGTGTTCACAATCAAGAAAAATTGGCTGGTGGTGTGGAATGGGTAAATTTGGTCGAAAATTGCATTGGGGGAGAAATTTTGGTGTCTATTCATTAGATGGTGGTGCTGAATAAGTGACTGCTAGGACCTGACCTTACCTGCTTCTCGGACATATCACTTTGCTCCAACCAATAAATAAATTCTGAGCTGAACCATTAGTGAGTCCATCATGAAATATTGTACAACAGTAAGCTTACCACTAAACAGCCGAGGGGTAAAATTTCCCTTCGTAAGTAAAGCCTTTACTGATTGCATTCTGGTAGCATGTGGGTCACAGAAAATTGGACTCATTCAGTCGAGCTTTGTATCCCTAGACACCAATATTTATGACAAATTTGGCTTGTGTCATGATGAAAATTCTCATAAACTAGCAACCCCATGCAGAAGTTTCTGCAAAAAATATGATGTGCTGGCGTAACTTTTACTATGGCCGTTTGTAGCGACCAAACAGTGAGCAACGCCCATAAAAAGTGATATTTTATGTCTATTTCATCCTTAAATAATAGTTATGTCTCTCATCCATATATCATGCCCATGGAACAGGAAGAGCCAGATTTGTCAACCAACATGTTAAAATTGCCACTATAGAATTAAATGAAATGAATACCGTCACTGACGGTAAAAGAAAATATATCATTATTTTATATTATGCCTTTTTCCTTAAGGAAAATGTTACGTCTAATAATGACAAAATTAATCGTTGCCTTTAGGTAAAATATTCAATAAATCTATTTACCTTCTTTGACTCTAGCCTAGCCTAGCCTAGCCTAGCCTAGCCTAGCCTAGCCTAGCCTAGCCTAGCCTAGCCTAGCCTAGCCTAGCCTAGCCTAGCCTAGCCTAGCCTAGCCTAGAATTGTCAAAATAGGCTTCCTTTATCAGATGTTTTTATCCAAACTTTGTGTTGGACAGATATCGACGGTGGATATGCAGCAGAAACCACATTTTGTTCTTTTTAATAAAGTTAACAGACGTGTTAATCACCTTAAAGTTAAGTGGCACAGTCAAGTCTGGTTTTGGTGTTCCGTTTTAGTGTTAACTCAGGATTTAGACACTAACACCATAGTTGGATATTAACATGAAGAGTGTTACACAAGCTCATTATCAATAATTTTTGCTATTTTAGAGTTTTCTTGAAGGAAGTATTTTTGGCATAAAATGAAAATTAAATATTATGTACATGCCTGTTGATGTCCGGTTAGGTATTACTGTTTGTTATTCGCTATTTGAATTCCGCTCGATTTTATGCTGAAATAGGCCTTAAAATGGATTTAGAAACTATCTGCTTACATTAGTCTCTAGGGATTAACACGAAGATGGGGTCAAGTTTAGTGTTAGGAGGTTCCTTTAGTTTATTTATGTTTATTCCTGCTGTTGAGCTATTGGAGAGCAATATAATAAAAATACTAGTGGTAGTCTAGATAGACCTATTATCAGAATTATCTTATATTGGTATCAAGTCTTTTATTGGGCCATGTGCAAATATGGACCTCACCGCTCACCCAGTGTCAATGACATTATAGAACTGTATAGTACCGGTATACAGTTCTATGATGACATTAAAATATCCACAGCGGCACAACAGATATTCACCGATAGATGTACCAACAAAATAAAGTTTTAGTCCATTCATGAAATTTCTGAGATGATCCATTGAACTATAAGTAGTGAGTGATGGCGATTATTATGTGAGGTCACTGAACACGATGATAGAATATTCTATTTAACACCCTATTAGTAGGCTACATTGTACAAAATTCAAACTAAAACTTTTAAAAATTTACCATTCATTCATTCGACGAACAAATCACAAATGCTGTGTGGATTTTCATGTCACGTAGTTTCCTTTTTCATTTATATTATGAACTAAAATTCAATTAGTGATCAAAATATAATTGTTGACACAGCCGACATGTTTACCACACCTGTCATGTCATAATGCAAAGAACGACGTGGAAAATTATCGATAAGGGCAGATAACTCCCAAAATAATAAAATCAGACAAAAATTAAAGAACATTTTTTTATTCGGGGACAGGCAGTTAATCTCTTTCAGAATGTGTCAAATGTCAGTCTCTTAACAATATTTTTGTAGATATAGATCCTATGTTTCAAATGAATCTCAGGTTTCTCATTAATAATTTAGACTGTTAATTGTCCTTTGCTCAGTAAATAATAATCTTGAGAACTCAATGACTAATGGGGAAAGAAGGTCAGACATTTGAAATGGAAACTGACCAAATATAAAAATTATCGCTAAAATTAATTAAAAAAAAAAACACGAAAAAAAACAGCTGCCAAAAATATCTATCTTGATTATCATTACCAAACAGATGTTTGGTGACTAGTATGGGCACTAAACCATACAAAATTGCAGGAAAACTTTTTCTATACAATTTAGATTAAATATAGATATCAGTTCATTAAAACTTTTATTACAAATTGTTTTGAATTAATCCAACATATCTATTGATCCTAATATATAATAATCAGTCCAGAATCACTGATGACTTTAACATGATTCTCTATGTGAACTGACATTTTTAAGTCTGTATTATATTAAATGTTCCATGGTTTTTTTTTAACATGAATTTCTTAGAATTTTCATGAGAAACATTGTGTAGAAAAAGACCTCAACATCAATTAACAGATTAAAACAAATCAACCAAGGTTCTTGAGTATCCTGTCTAGTAGCTGATCCTTGTGTAAACTTCTTTTACCCATTCACAGGGTAGACTGGAATAATGATGAAAATAGTCACTAAACCTTCTGATCTCCATTAAGACTATCACCTGTTTGAAGCAAAATGTACATTATTGTACATGATGTTAACGTTGTAACACCCTAACCATGCTGCAGCCTGTACTTTGGTAGTGATAGATTTTGTCATAATAACAGTTTACTGTGGTCAGAAGATAGTGGGGTATCAGACACTCTAAAAGTTTTATGACAGCTTCTTCACACTTTAAGAACTGAATGAATGAAAGACACCATTAACATTAATGATTATAGAAGATAATCTGACACCAGTTGCATTCATCCGTTAGATTTCAATAGGCTTTTTATTTTTGAGTTCAGCATTTAGCTGTGATATACATATCGCTTTTATTGCATATGATAAATAGTATGAATCATGAACAGTAACATTAAAAAACTTTTGTTATAAGTCATTCATCTAGTCAAGCACTATGCTTTAATAATATTTCAAGTCTATATTGCATTGAGAACTAAACTTTTCTTTACTCAAGTTCACTTTCAGAAATTAAAAATGTCCATCTTCTTCAATTTTTCACATAGAGCTCAGCCTCAGGTAGTTAAACAGAACACATAAAGTAGTCTTGAAGATTCTAGCACATATAGATGAAATATCAAAAGTCCATTTACACAACTACATAATTCACTCTCAAGTTTTTACCACACTATATCAGTCTAGAACACTATTGGTTTTCATCTAAGTGATCGATACATTTTCAATAAAGCAAATCCTAGTCCTGATAACATGGCAACACCGAGTCCAATATGAATATAAACTTTATTTTCATCTGTATATAAACTTCTTAGATGTCTGAAAGAAAAAAAACATTGATTGTATGTGATTAATAGATCAAAGGTATAATATATGGTAAAATTAAAGTGATTTTTTTCACATAAGGATTAAAAATGAATTTTTTTGTTGTTGATACAATAAACATATTCAATATAATAATTTAAATTTTATTTGCATATATTTTCATATATTTTGTGAATTTCTATAATAAAAAAATTTACATAGTATAATCTAAAGTGCTTCATGCATAGTGTTGAAAAGCCATGTTAAAAGATGTCTTGTTAAATGTATGACCCTCTTTAAACTATATACAGTTTTACCAATGTCTGACCTGGATATGTACAAATATGTTAGCTTGACTAAACCTTACTAATAAATATTAAACTATTTCTACTGATTTGATTAGTTTTGACTTTTTTTTTAGTAGATAAGTCTTATATCCCAAAAGTGTTACTTTTCTTCATTTATAAATTAGACATAGCTTCAGATGAAATTTTTTCTTTTATATATTTGCATGCAAAGTTCCAATCGACAACATAAATATAACAAGGTGAAAAGGTCAGAGCTGGTGGGAAAAATATCTATACAAATAAAGTTAAGTTAAATGCAACCATATCATTTTTGAGAAGAAATTACCCAGACACCAACTAGTGCAAATATAAAGGTAAAATGTTCAGGATATTTAATAGGGAGCATGCAGTGTGAAATAGTTGACTATATAGACAGAGTGATAATACATAGAGGGACATGAACCTTAATTGATCCTGTAACCACGGAGATTGTGGATGAACCAATAACATGTGAACCAAACGCTTAAGATTGCTGAAAGAAAAGGAGGACAATCATTATAATATGGGGAACGAGATAAGAGCTCTGCTTTAGAAATGGCAAAGCAAATGCACTTCAAGAAAAGCAATTAAGCCATTTTGAATATATATCATTACTATGATTAAAATGCAAATGAAAATGGAAAATTTATTTAAAATACTATTTCTAAACTAGAATTTTTTAAAAACTATACAAAAATTAACAAAACTTATGATATAATGTGAAGATACAATTTAAATGAAATGTAAAAAATAAAAGCAAATAAGAAAATTTAAGAAACACTTACGGATAAGCAGCCATTGTTGCCAATTTAACATATATATCATGATTGACTTTGTCTATACAGGTAAATAACTGCGGTGGAGGGAGTTTATAATAATTACAGAACTGGGCAGGGGTCATCTCATAATCTTGTCTAATCTCAGGATGTTCTGCTTTACAGGCCACTATCAATGTTGGTATTTTACTATCTATAAATAATCGCTGCAAGTAGAAAGAAAATGAACTGTCAAACATTACAATCTTAATACTTAAGAGAGTCATGTGATGACCTTTTGACAGCTAGGTTTGGAAATAGTGACCTTATTCAAAATATTGACAGGATACTTTTTAACATTAGATAATAAAACAACTTACCAAATAAATTCTTGCACAAATTTCAAAACTTTTAGGATTTGTAACATCATAACATAAACAGGCTACATCACAATCTAATTCAGTTGGTACAGACATATCACTCATACCAAAATCTACTTCATGTAACTGTAACAAAACAATTCATAATGATAGGCAAAAAAGGGGACAAACACTTCGAATTCCTTTTTGAGGCAGAAAGAACTCACAAGATCACTGGCCATGGCATCAGAATTTTGTATAAATATACAGTGATTCAAATCTAGCAGACGATGACCAGTCTGGCCACACCTGAGTCTTTTTGGGTTCAATGAAAGGAAATTTACATCCAATTTTTCTGCAACATATCAAGCAACTGAAGGTGGATTGAAGAGGAAAAGTAAGTCAGACCAGTGTTTAGTGTACTACTAACCATTAAATGTTTTTCTTGACCATAAACTTGAACAGTATTTATAGTAAAACTAGAAAAATGCTCTCTATTTAAAGTGGCTATATAACGTAAATTCCTGCCCAATAAACCTTGAAGAAAGGCAGTCTGAAATACAGAGAAATAAGATCACTTCATATTTAAACATAAACAATGGTGCAAGAATTATACATTTTTAAAATGACATACAAGTTATACTGTGTCAACAGTTCTGAAAAGCACAAAATAAGGAAAAGATATCTATAGCAAAACTAAATTAAATTAGAAATAAATAGTATTTTACTTACCTTTCCAGCACCTTTACCACCCAACACATGGCATCGAAATACATTACGTGTTGTTTGTCTCTTTTCTAAGTCTATTTTCTTGTCTCTCGTAACTATAAAACAAACAACATTAATAACAACATATAGTAAATATAATAAATAAATTGGAAACACATGTGGAACTACATTTTCTAAACTGTTAACCATAGACTAATTTCAGCTGAAACAGCAGAATGACAGTCTTGCAAAGAGAAAATTTATTGAATAATTCTAAAAGAATGTGCAATGATGGAAATTTCTACAAGTGAATCTGAATGATATATCTGTATATAAAGCAATGATTACCATGTATAGCTGTTAACTGAGAGTCGTGTGTATAATTATAACCTAAATAAGCTAAATATTCTATAGTTCTAGGTACATCTAATAACGAGGTCAACCTGTAATTCATAAAATTCAATAAATGAATATGGATTTTCCATGACCACAACATGCACTTCGTATTGAGAGTAATTAGAACAGCAGCATTTCCAATTGGTTAAGATTTTTCAAATGTGTACACTTTGAAACATTTTAATAATTATACAAACAGCATCACTGACAGAAGGGAAACTAATCCAAAGATATATTCCTGATTGAACCATAAAAACTGTAAATGATTAAATGAAGTAATAATTCATAACATCATGGTTTGAACTACCGAAAAGAGCTGAAAGTGTGTTACTCAATGGGAATCTGTATCATACTTACGTCCATTGTGCTATATAACCTTTTAATGATATCCAGCCTTGTGGATTGGTACAAACTGTATTATTGACGTCAGGTCCCCACGGCATTATAGGACAGGTACTGAAGAGATTCTGTAATTCTGGTGGTGATAAACAACCATCATAGTCCTGAAGAAAAAAACCAACATTGTCTGAATGTCGTTTGCTTTGTTTTATTAATCATATGACTGTCACAGCCACTTAAAATGCAAGTTATGCAAGTCAACCATGCTGCAAATGGGTCTTTATAATTTTAGTTAGAGCAGAATACATTAAATTTCACAGAAAAGATCCTAGTGAACTAAATTAGTTTTCCTGGTAAAATAGGGATGTTGTTTTGTTTTATATATAAATTTATAACAACATGGTACATTACCTCATCATATTTTTCAAATAATGTACTTAAAAATTCTAAACCATTATTACTTAATTCTGTAGTAGACCCATTTCCTATTTGAATCCTACAATAGTAAACAAATCATACAAGTATATTTTATTTTTGCCAATATAAAACCTTTCTTCATCATTTAAAGGTAATTGTATTTCCTCTCTACATGTAGTTTATAATGCTGACAACTAGGTTGTTAACGTCACAAAGGCCTCAATATTTATGATATTTATGATATTGAGTGACAGAATAGAGATATGTAGCTTTCATATTTGGAAAATTTCAAGACTTTTTTTTTAACTAATATTGCAAGCAATTACATAACAACAATACTGGTATTTACTTTGGTGCAACAAAATCCTTAGCTAATGCTAAATGTTCATCATAACCAAATTTACGTAAAACAGTCCAAGTTGTTTCATGTCTACCTTTCTGTATAAATAATGTATGTAAAAACAAAAAACCTGCAATAGATAATAAACCAAGAGTTGATCATTTATATATATTAAGGCAGTACAAACTTAATCAGCAATTGAAAGAGGCCTAGAAACACAGACCTCACAAACATAAAAATAGCAGATTGTACTTGTTGTCCTAGATATACATTGCAATATTTCTGACCATCAATGACTACTGGAATATTCTAATAGTTTTCTCCCTCCTATTCAGTGAATTCACAGATGGTTCATATTCATCATGTCCTCTATTTCAACCAGCTGTCCTGATGCAGATGTTACATAAGAAATATTGACAGCAAGAGATGAGTTTTTGTCCAGCTTTGTTATTCAGATTCAACAAGTATATTTACCTTTCAATGAAATACCGTCATCTATTATGCCCTCAGATGTATGTTTACGTACAATTTGTTTTACATCTTCTAAAGCTTGTGGATGTAGTGGTGCATTAAAACATTTTTGCTACAAACATAAAAAAACATATCCTGTTCAAAGCATTATTCAGCATAATACATAACTGAACAATTAAAATGCTTCAATATTGCATCTTTCAACTGATAATTGGTCAATTCTCATAGCACTTGTCTTTCTTAGATTATCTCAGTGTTTCACTCACACACCAACACTTCTTATAACACTTCCAATAAATTTAGGAGCTAGAGCTGAGCTAAAGGTAGATTAATAGATAAATTACCTGAAAGTTATTAACTTCTTCATCATTTAAAAGATTATCATTGTCCATATCACAAATCTAAAATACAAATCAGAATAACATTCTTTAAAAACCAGCATTTATCAGTTATTTACCTTTCAACCACAACATTATTAATTGAAATAAATTACAGAACTATGCATTTGCTAATTGTGTCTGATGCAAGCTCTAAGTAAATAGAAATAAGTTCAAGATAGTAACTTACTTTAAATATTCTAGTTAATGCCTTACGACATAGAGGAGTTAACTGTAAAAGAAATATATAATATATATATATACATGGTTTGGTAAATATTCCGGAGGATATTATAACATTAAAAGTTAAGCATTTTCAACATGAATATAGTTTAGTTACCATTCTAATTGTTAAATATTCCTCACCTCTTTTTCTTCAGGGTTATATACAGGAGCTGTAGGATGTAAAACAGCTTTCTGAGCATAATAGAACACTTCACTGATATTCTTTAATGTTCGAGCTGAACACTGCAATATATAGAATAAAAATACAATATTTTTGAAAAAAATAAAATGGCATGCACCATGTGGGCTAATGAAGATGAGCAACTCCATGCTGGGTTCAGTGTCAGAGGCATTAGCCTGCTCTTTTTCAATATCCATCTGTCTAGGATCTTTAATGTGCACAGTCTGTAGCACACAGGCCTTGGTTTATTGTCCCAACCGAACAGCTAGACGCTTTTTCCATTTCAGACAGGGGGGGGGGGAGGGGCCCACAATATTTTAGAAAAAAATCAATTCCAAAAGCAGGTTAAAACATAACATGCTAAAATGTTCTATGTTATTATGTTGTTTTATCATCAAAACATTTGTTAATAGTGTCTAATATTGTTAATATCTAAAGTTTTATCTCAAATGTATGGTATTGAAGAACATTAATCTGTTCTCTACATATAATTGAAAATAAAATATGCCACAATGGTCACCGTCTGTTAATGTTATTAGTGTTCTTACCTCAACACAAGTTTCAACTTCTGCAAAATCATTCATAATAGGTAAGATACTCTGAAAGTTGAAAAAAAAATACCACATAACAGCAGAAATTACATCTAAATGACCTGTAGAAACAATGTATTGAGATGCTCATGCAACTATTTTGGTGAAAAAGTAAAAATTTTGCTTTTGAAATATATTGCCAAGGTCACATTTTACACTACGGAATAAACATAAAGGATAGTCACAAAGTAAAAATGAAACTTTTGATAATAAATTTAACTATATTACAAATTTTGCACATAATATTACTGCACATCTGGGTAAAGAAATGGTAGAATTAGTTGAAATCATTTCAGAATTTTTAATCCTATTTGTGTAGAACACAATTCACTTTATACTACTTTACCTCTAATGTAGGATATTCAGTTTGGTCAACTTTATTACCAACTAATATAACAGGTTTATGATGCTCATCACCTAATGTTGTTCTTATATATGGTAACCAATGGGTTGTAAGCTACAAAATATCAAGTCAATCTTTAATACTCACTGCATTACATTGACAACATAAAATCTCATAAATACCATTTGCCCATCTGAAACTAAACAATTCTACCCAATTAAAACTGGATGCTATATATACATTATATCAACATTCTTTATAATCTAAAAGGCCTTTAAGATTATAATTACTCATTATTCTTGCAGCAGGTTTTCAACATTTTTGACTTATTTATGCTATAAATGTTCCGGAATTCTGATTTGTTATTTCAACAAAGCCAGAATCTGAGGGAAGAATAAAGCTGTATTAACTTTTGAAATGCTTAAACCAAACAGAAGTACTGCAATTTTTTTTAGAATTTGACTATTTTCATTGAATGTAACGTTTATTTCTCATCTTACCCTTTGTATAGAATCTTCATCCATAACAGAATAAACAAGACAAAGAACACTAGCCTATATTGGAAAAGAAATGTTATACGTATAACAAAAAAAATGTTAATAGATTCATTCATGAAAGCATTCAATTGTTCTGAGGGCACCTTTAATGCTACTGTAATGCATCAATACACAATACATGTAATTTGTACTAGAAGATGTTTCAAATAAACATAACAAATGAAAAAACCTACTCTGAAGGAGAAAATATTGTTTGTAAACTAAAATAATACACAAACCTTGGCCATTTCTTCTTCTAAAACTGTTTCATCTTGATCATGAGCTAAAATTATTAAATTATACAATAAGATCATTTTTTGATAGCAAGTTTGCCAAAAATACATCTTTTTCAGTTTTGACCAAATAAATAATTTACAAATATAATTTACTTTGATTTCTGTAAGATAATTGTTCTACAGTAGTGTGACTTAAAATAAAACATTCTTAAAATAGTGGCTTGATTTATTTGATAACACTATACATATAGTTTAACTTACAAGAATAGTCAACTATGTGGGTTGGAACTTTTTCAGGGGTGACATCAGCTGGTATAGTAATCTCTTCGGCTCTTGATGGTACCTAGGAAGATAAAACATAATATTAGAACAACAACAAGAATTTCCTGAACAATGAATATAAATCAAGACTGCCTCTATGGTTGAATATGTTAGAGAGCTCAATGAATAAATAATTAGTTCAATGTAAATTGTTCTAGCAATTAGCAAAGATGGGTTACTTACATCTTCTGCAAATTCTTCACTAACTAAGGACAATATCAATGAGGTTTTACCAACTCCAGCTATAAAATAAAGTATGTGAAAATAATTCCTCTCTACAAGAGTTACAGGCTACTGAGAGTAAAATGTAAGTACTAATACCAAAGAAACATATAGTGTAACAATCATTATCATCGAATGATTTTACAAAGAGTATATTCAGCTGTGAACCAATTGGGCATCTTTTTTGCTATTTCGTCGGCAATTAAAAAAAAAAGTGGAATCAATCCACTCTACTGAGACAAATAATAAAAAATATTCTGCCAAATATACTAATTCTGCAAGGCATTTGTAAGTAATCTAAATAGTAGACTGATCAGTAAAATTTCATTTACCCACAAATATGCAATAAATAGTTACATATTAATCTAAATCATTGTTCTTGCCAATCAGTAGGCAACTTATAAAATGCTCATGTACTTACCATCTCCTATGAGGAGAATCCTTACGTCACGTTTGGACGACGACATGGTTTCAGCTTACACTTCCAGAGTCAAGATCTACTCGTATCTCAATAAATCATTTACTACCAAATACTTGTCGAAAATAAATAAATTTGACCTTGCTAAAAATATATCTTACACATGTTTAGAAAAATGATATTTAAGCGCAATGTGAGAGTGTTAACAATCCAAATTTAACAACAAAACATCCGTTTGTAAAATGTTTTAATTTTCGAGCGGAAAAACAAATTTCAGACGTTAACAAGAAGAAAGATACACAGTTTTTGTTTAAAAATGTTCACCATACAAATTGTTCACCATTTTGTTTATTAACTTCCGGTTTACTGCGCAGAATCGATACACATCTCACCAATCAAAACCATCTAATTAATTATCACCGGAAATAGTAAGATATCATTGTGAAATAATACAAGACACTACAAGTTATTTGAGTTAGTTCGAATACAAAATTAAGAAATTTGTCGCATTTATATGAAGCCATCTCTTTTCTAATTGTATATTTCGAAAGACAAATATGTTGAAAATTCTATCGAAATGAAACAAATATGAGATATTTATGAAGAAAAATTCCCAATAAACGGATACCGACTTGAGAATATTTCAATTGATAAACTTCGTCTGCTTGTCAGCTTATTTTAGGGCCCATTAGGCTATGTTTAAACCGAAACATTTGGTAGGTGAATATCAGAAATGTAGGGCTTGAAATGAATAATAATGTGGCAGAGAGTATGTTATGGGGAATAGATGTAAGCGTTAAGTAACCATTTTAGCCTAACAACACTAAACAATACAGCCCCTAGTAGGGGCCTAGACAAGGCCTTCCTTCTTATGTTATGACCAGTCACTGAGTCAGTGCTTGTAACCACTTTTTCTTTTGGTTTGCTTGTTGATATTCTGTAGGCTTAGATTTATTGTACATGTCGATCTACTAAATGTATATCTCTGATAATTGATATAGAAAAATTAAAGATGTAGATGTAGAAAGATAATTAAATCTAGACAACTATTAACTTACAACGTAACTGAAAGTAACAGTCAATGCAAGTTTAGGCATTTAACTGTAAAAGATTGTCAAATTGAAAATCAAGTTTACATGCTTATTGGTATGCTTTTAGTTTCTTAAAAACCTCCACTTTTTAAACAGGACCTATATATACCGGTATTTACCTTTATCTAGCACATAAATGCAAAATATTTACAATGGCCCTATAACACAATTAATTCAAAATTGCTGGTTATACCTATGTTATCTGAGATGTGGTGACCTGACAATGGAGTAAAACTTGTATCACTTTTTCAGAGTCACATTTTTTTTTGAAAAAGTTGAAAATCATTTGTTATATTGCATGCTCTTTCTTCTCTCAATCAAATCATAGCAATTTGAACCATAATAAAAAAAAAACAAAGCAGAAAGTTGTAAATCATAATCAAATTTCAAGTTGTGTTCTATTTATAACTTCTGAATTAAATTCAAACTCTTTTGAATTGTAACTGTATATCAGGTATACAACATGTTCATTCAGGCATTTGGCTAAAATACAGTTCATGTAAACTGTCTTGAAATATATATATTGTGTCCTATTAACAATGTGATCATGAATACCATTATAACCAATTGTTATAACCTAAAAGCTTTTGCATTAAAGATAATGAAAAACCTATTTCTTAAAATTTACTGAATTAAATAGTGTTAACTTTAATGATGATTTTATATTATTAAAACTGTTATGGTCACTTTATTGCAAGACAGGTTTGATGCATCTTCTGCAATCCGAGAACAACTTATTAGTGGGTTTTCATGAAATTTTTTGGAGTCAATGGCTGTTTAGAAAATTTGATGAAGTCTCCCATATACCAAATTGATGATTATATTATTTGCAGTAAGCTTATTGAATGCACTAGTTAGCTAGTTGTTTTTTTTTTTAGTTCCATTTGATCTAAAAAACAACTTGAACACATGTTTTTTCTTTTGTTAGAGGAACCTAATGTTAAGACGATTAAATATTCTGATATAGAATACTAATGTATTGATCAAAATATCCTATAGAATACAGGATTCAAACCCTACACTTGTCAAATAGTTTATGGTCTGATAATAGTCATTCAATTCATATGCTTATTAACTACTATAGTTATATTATATCACATAGTTAATGTCTCTAGTTCAAACACGCCCAATATTAATGTTTATCTATCTAATACCTCTAAACTTGAACAGAATTGGTCTTTATGAGGGATTTTTAAGTGGTCAAGAGGTCAAATAGATAGATATATATCAACATAGATTATAGTGACCCTTGGTCAATGGATTATTAATAGTGATTAATTTCCAACATTCAATTATTAGTGTGTTGAGGATAAGGATTATTCTAGCAAGCCATTATTTGGTTGGTAGAGTTGAGATTGAACATTATACCTGTGTAGGTGATATATCAAGGTAGAAGGCTTTATTTCATAAAGGTTTGTAAATTAAGATTGTTACTGCCTTTTTTATACGCCCACACATAAGTATGGGCGTATATTGTGGTTGCCTCTGTCGGTCCATCTGTTCACATTTTCCTCGTGCTCATTCTACAGGCTACAATTCTCTATAGATTCTTTTGATCTTTTGTATGTGTGTCATTATCATTATGAAGATGTGCACTATTGAATTTGGTGATGATCCGGTGATTTTCTTGAGGGATATTGCATAAAACTCTGATATCACGTTCGTTATTTTTTCACTTTTTTGGCTCGTGCTCACTCTACAGGCTACAATTCTCTATAGATTCTTTTGATCTTTTGTATGTGTGTCATTATCATTATGAAGATGTGCATTATTGAATTTGGTGATGATCCGATGATTTTCTTGAGAGATATTGCATAAAACTCTGATATTGCGTTTTTTTAACTTTTTCAGCTCGTGCTCACTCTACAGGCTACGATATAGAGTTTGTTTTACAGTTCACATTTAGCTTTTTATCAAGCTGCTGGTGGGCGTATTCGCTTGCGAGACTTGCCGTAAGCCTATGTTTGAATGAGATTCTAAGAACATAATGTTTAAGTTTTGGAATTTGTTAGTGCATTATCTGTGAAGGTATTCTTAACTGTTTGTTAATTAGGATTAATTTCCTTTTATATTTGAATTTGCAAAAGGCAAAATAGTCGCAAAATTCTCCATCGATAGTGCATGGGAATTGGAAAAGAGTTATATTTTCTGAAAATTTTGTGAGGCTATGATGGTGACATGAGTGTTCAACTGTACAAAGCTATTAAAGGGTGCGAATTGTGAACCTTCTCCATAATTTGGCCCATTATTAGCTAAAATCGATGATTGAAAATTGTATTATAACTAGAAATTTATTACCACTAGAAGGACACTATAAATTGTTAATGATATCCTGTATTATATGTCATTTATATGTAAAGTACTTCATTACTCTGGTAGTAAAGAATGTTTTAGTATGGAAGTCTTATATTAGTTTGCAGATCAAAAAGATAGAAAGAACCTGGTAGCTTTTTCTGAAATGAAATTTCTTTTTTATTTTCAATTATAACAATCTGATTAAGTTACAGAGCATGAAGCTTTTTCTATAAGTTGTTTATTTGGCCATCAATGATCTGACTTTGTTCTTTTTTTTTAATATGGTTCAGTCAAATTTGATGTCATTTTATCGCCAGATGAGTATTATCACTTAAATTGTACCTTTCCCTTTTTTGTTGAACTTTGCATTGAAATTAATGCAACCACCAAGTGAATAATCAATTAAAGGAAATGATTGTTGTGAAAAGTGAATCAGATATCAATAATATTGATTATCATTGATTCTATTTGTTATTCATTCATGCCATACTCTTCTTATCAATTTAAAAAATTGCCCGAAAACCTGACTCATTCTGACCTGATTCATTGTCCTTTGCAAATTACAGGCCCTGAAAGACATCAGCTACATCTAAAATTGAAATGAATCGAGTTTTATTTCATTTAGAGAAGAAACTTAATATACTTATTTCAAAGAATAGGAAATATATCAAATAATCAAATAGAATAATGTGTTGAAAATGAACTTGTTTATAAGCCTTGTAACCAAGATATGATTCACATACTTTCAAACTTGACATAAAAAAATTTGATCATTCTATGATCTAAAAAACTAAAAAACAGAAATTTATTAAAGTTTTAGTTAATTCAATAGAGGTAGTCAATAGTACTATGTTTATTAAATGAATTCAGACAAGTCAGTCATTGTATAAAATCAAATGTACTGGTATATTTACTGTCAGTGATTTAGACTATTGTTCCTATATTATTGATTGATATTATTATCTTCAACTGATTTTATCACAACTTGCCACTTAATCTGATTTAATCCTTTCAGACTGAATGTTAAGCTGATTGCATGAGAGATTGGTACCAGATAATAACTGTTATTATTAATAAAGACTTGAAGTGAATTGTATAACTATCGTAGTGGTGAAATAGTTGTAGTTTACCATGGCTAGAAGACAGTTAGAAGAAGCTCTAATAGCAGGACATTCCATTAATGAAGGTAAGTTTAATCAGACTTTATTTAACATGGATGAGAATTATGTCCAATTCAGCAAATCATGTCTTACATATGCAGACTAATTATTTAAATTATTATATAAGGATTTCCAAATGGTTGATTACCAAGATGATCGCAAATCCAAGTTATGTCAAGACGTCATAAATTTGTCTTCAAGAGACTCTTTAAATATATAATTGAAAATGTTTAAGTACTAAACAACTCATAAAAATATTAATCAAATGTGTCTGTTGTTTGAATATATTAAGTTAACTTACTATATATTTACATGTATAGTGTGCATTTTTTTACCCTAAAGGGGGCTGACCAAACTTGGGGATTTGGAATTTTTCACCAGAGGTTTCTCAGTCAATATCTGCCATTTTGTAATTGATCCCTGATGGTCAAAGGTGCTAATAGGAAAAAAAAGCTATAGAAATTCCCTTTTTCAAGCAAGATTATAGAATAAGACTAATTTTCTGTGATCACCAACAAACATTGTCTGATTTGTTGCTATATTTAAGTACCTATATTGCCCAAGATGCTATTATGCTGTAATGTTATACAGGTGATAACTGGCCGAGTACATTCAGTAGAGTAGAGTTATTAAAGACAGTAGAATTAGACAGCTATAGTGGAGGAATATATTGTTTACAATATAATTATAATGGTGAAGTCTTAGCTGTTGGTACTGGAAATGGTGGAATACTCGTAAGTTTTAAAATTGGAAACAAACTCAGAAGAGGTGCAGAATCAATGATCAATACAGCTTATTTATATGGCATGAAGACTGCAAGGCATAATCTACATTTTCACATGACAATATGTGACTGAAAATGCATTAAAACAATAGCTTTCGAGATGATTGTCATTATATACAACTATTTTTAGTAGAGGAAATATTGCCTAAAGTTAAAATCTAGTTGTCTATTTTAAACATTCAAATGTTTTAAAATGTCACTTGAATCAATAATTTACTCTGATTTCTCTTTATAACAAAATTTATTGTCCACTAGGGAGTTGTTTGAGCTTGACTAAAAACTTTCATTTGCTCGAATCAGTCAAATGGAACAGAATATTCTTAAAAAGTCATCATTCATATTCTATTGACTGAATTTACACTAATTTTTAGCTGTTTGCACCTAAGACTGGTAACTTAATAAAAGAATTAAGAAAGTCGAGACATGGTGGTCTAGCTATAATGTGTATTAGATTCCATCCTAAAGATACCAATATCTTGCTAGCAGGAACAGCTGATGGTATGGTATTCGCTTGTTATATGGAGGAAGGAACTTGTAAAGAAATAATATCAGGTACACGTGATTTCTTATGTGTTTATGGGGTCAAAACTGTTGACTCTTGTAGCTATCATTGAGGAGAGATGTAGTTTAACTGAGAATCAGGAACACTTTTACAGGTTAAACATTTGATATTATTTTCTTTGTGTCAAAAATTTGTAATAAATAAGGACAAGAATCTAAATAAGAAATTGAATTATCTGACAAGAATCTATCAGTTTCTCCCAGTTCTGTCATTGCCATTGTAAATAATCACATGATGATTTGCATTATAAAGTAAGATATTTGGTTACAAAAAATTACATTTTGGAATAAAGCATAGCATACAAAGGCAAATTTCTTGTACATTAGATTCCATCAATTTATAGAATATTTATTTTCCAGAAAGGGGCAATGAAATCAATTGTTTAGATTTTGATTTGGATGGTTTTAATTTTGCCACAGCAGGAAAAGATTTATCTATAAGAATATATGAAACTAAAACATGCCAGGTTGGTCCATTTGTTTTCATTTAAAGTTAACTGTCATGTCAAGACGTCGTGAGTCAAATTAAAATCTTGGTATTTGGATACAATTGGCATTATAATTTGTCGTTCATGCAACAATAATTATTATATCTACTTATGCTTTGTATGCAGTAAGGACTACAGATTTGAAAAAATTCTATGATACTTTATGTGAACATTTGTACAGTTTTTGCCATATAAAAATTTGATCTTAATTTATGCTTCTAGTTTTGATTTCTAGTATCTTCTTTGAACTAACTTAAGTACGGATTTGACAAACCCATTTGCTCTGATTGTGGATCTTAAACTTAAAATCCTACAGTTTAAGATGTGACTTTAGTCTATAATACACTAGTGTATAAGAAAAATTGAATTCTATATTCTAGCTAGTGAAGACATTTGATGGATATGATCAATCTAAACCATCCAATGAAATGTCATGCATGGGTTGTTCACAGCGAGTTTTTGCTTTAAAATTTCATCCAGAATATAGAGATATCTTTCTTTCTGGAGGCTGGGAAAATCATCTCAAGGTAAGCAATTTTTTTTTTTCATTTTACATATCTTGTAAAATAAAGACGTTAAATACATGTATCAATTAATAGGAGGCACTGGTTTAAAAATCTCATGGTGTTATTTTGACCTATGAAGCAAACATCAAAACAGTTCACTTCTTTGAGTTTTGTGTCACTCTTAAATCCATAAGTTCACTATACAGAAGTCTTTGATAAACCGTGATCATGTATATTACAGATATGGGATGTAAGAACTAATGATGGTGTTAAAAGAACAATATGGGGACCACATTTATGTGGAGATAGTTTAGATATGAAGGTATGCTATATTCATTTATAAAAAAATAATAGTCTCTATCTTGTTTACACATCAATATTCTTATATTTTGTCAAGTTGATGGCAATATCTAAAAAAAATCTAGTATAAAAGAATTCTCAATATTTAATCAAAATATTAAACTACACTGTAATGGTATATCTGACTTGTCAGTTATTTTAATTTGGAATGACCCAGGATGGCTGTTAAACTCATTTCAAGTCATCCTCATAGTTTTATTGGTTGTAAACTTATAAATATAGATTCAAAGGTTTTACTATGGATCTTAAAGGGACAGATGCACCATTTCTTTTGAGCAATCACAGAAGGAAATTTTTGAGCTAAGCCAATCAGTTATAGTGTTCACAGCTCACCGTTGAAATTTGAGCCTTCAAATCCATGTGTATCAAGTAAAATGTCTAGTTTGAAGTATTTTTAAAGGAACTATGTTATGTTCGTACGTTTCTAGAATGACATAAAACTTTTTACATATATACAAGACTAAAATCTACCCCCCTTTAAACCAGTCTGATATAAATAGATAAGAATCCGCTTTATTCGTCAAATTTTAGGGTATGAAAATTTTGACTGGTTCATGGACATCGACAAATGCTCTACAAGTCTGGAATTATACAGATGGTAAATTAGATAAAAATATAAAATATTCTAATTCACCGGATGGAGATTTTTTGTATTGTGCTCAGTATTGTGAGAATGATATTGTATTAGCTGGTGGTAGTGGTAATAATAGTGCTCAAGCTATCAGAATAACAGACGGAGAGGTAAGCTTTAAAATCTTACTTAATATCTGTCTATTACAAAATAAATGCTAATACCATAAACGTTATTGTGCAAACTCACCTTTAGTCAGGGGATCTTTAACATGCTCATATTGTAGTTCTTAGAAGTGCAGTGCATTTTCCCATGCAAGCCAAAGAACCTATATCACTAACAAGGGTCAACACCTCTAAGTCTGAGAGCACTGACAACATTGCTGAATTTTAAAGAAATATTTTCATTCACTATTGAATTGTGTTAACTATTTTTATTACAGTGTATTGGTAGTATTAAAATGAACAAGCCAGTACAAGCTCTAGACAGTGCTTATGGTGGTAAATTATTTGCTGTTGGTGGTGCTGAAAACTGTCTTAAACTGGCCACTATAACATAATTACAGTATTACCAAGCACGTTCCTGGCAGCAATGAGATTGGATTCAAATACTTTTTGGATAGGTTTTAATCATTAAACCCAATATATACGCTTTTCCACCAATCTTACTGATACTCTGTTCTCCAAAATTTAAGAATTTGAAAGAGGTTTTCAATTATGTGTATCAAGGATAGTATCCATTACTATATTCACATATTCTATGTTTTCCTTTGGATGTTTGTGGTTCCTGTTATTCCAGAAAAAAGCTAGAACTAATTACTAATCATGATTTCATAAGCTGGTCAAGTTCCTGGAATGACAGAAAACTCTGATAGAAATCAGGATTGTGCAAGAAGTTCTTTGTTTCCAAGATACTCCTTTTGAATCTCTTTATGTCAAATTTGAGAAAACTGATATTGCTCTTTTTGATCCGAAAGTTGAAGTTAAAAAAAAAGGAAATTGAGACACTGAATATATCAAATGTATCATATTCAATTGCTAAGTAACCCAATGTCAGAATTTTCATGAAAATTGCTTTAGATAGCTTAAATCTAATAGACCTCCATAAAAAGGATTAATTCAGATCTTTATTAAGTATGTTCTTGATTTTAAAGTATTTATGATAAATTATCAACAATGATGTATTGCATTCCGTCCTGAAATTTATTTTTATATATGTTAAATTTGTTTATAAAAGTTTGTTTTTGTGATAAATATATTTATTTTGTGTTTGAAGATAATTTATTGCTAATAAATGTTTATGTTCAATTCTTTTAAAAACGAATGGATAATACCTGCATACAGAATGAAAGCAATAAGTGTGGTCAAGATTTATCAAAGTTGTGATTACTTCCCTTTATTACTTCTCTTCGTTATATTTTTTTTATTAAGTGCGTAGGCCTTTCTCTTGAACTGCATTCATTTTGTTGATTGATTTAGGTGTTGAGGGACTGTCAGAGACGCCCAGAAGCGAACGGATATCAGTTGACCTGAGAAGAGTAATGAGCATTTAATAATATAAAACCTTTCACAGGTTCGAGTGGAGGGCTATGGCCTCACCCTTCATAATCTACTGTTCCTTAACAGTGACACTGGGGGAATTTTATTCTCGCACGTGATATTTCATTTGAGTCCTGCTAATTTTTCCTATCTAACCTCGAGTCCATTGTGGCCTTAGCGTAATTTCCTTTACTTCTCCGACTAAATATTACGAAATAGAGAGGATATGCTTCTGGTCTAGACAAATAAAAAGTTAAGCTCACTGGTCACCGGATGAATTGATCAAGTATGTATACACGAGTTGCACCCCTTCCTTCTATTGAAAAGATCCTTCGACAATGAGAAATCGATGCCGCTGCCCTTTGCAATTTTTTTCTTAATGCACTTTGCATGGCGTTGCCTGGTTTTATAAGCCCAGATGATGTAGAAAAGTAGGACGTAAAACTCCAATCATTTCATATTCGAACACAACTGCTACTTGATTGTGTCCACTGGAGTTAACCAACGTATTATTTATAAATCCAAAACAATTTCTGACAAAGGGGTGCAATGGTGGTCAATTTAGTCGACGATCATTTGAGACTACATTTAAGACTACATTTGAGACTGTCCGGCTATTAAAAGTTTGGAAAGTGATATAAAAGGGAATTTAAGAGATATAATATTCTACCCGAGTAATGGGATGACACTACTATAAAGTTGTAATGCTAGTGGAAGGTATATAATGTAATGTCTAAAGCTTAGTGGATGACATTTGGATCATTCAATATATAAAGCTAAACCTTGAAAATTGAGTAATTGTGAAAATGTGTGTCTGTTTATATTTCTGGAGAACACACAAAAATTGTTCCAGACTGTTCGACATTAAATAATTTCTATAACTGGTCAGTTTCTATGTTTATTTATTTTCCGTGTTGTTTTACCTTCTGAAAATATCCAAAAGAATTTGTGGTCACGTCACAAAAACTAAACAACATTGCAGCCAAATTAAAGAGTGTTTGTTGACCAAAAGATTAATTTAGAGTTTGTTAGCAGGTGTAGTCATTTCAAATAAAAACACTCCTCTTGTATACTGGACTTTATTTTGTTTTAAAAGTCATAGTAAATATATTTGTTGTTTAAATATGTTAACAGTAATATGATACGCACACAGCATTTAATTACTCGTACAGCAACTATATCTATTTATATCTGTGGAATCCGATTCTAGCGCATGCAGCCAGAGCTCTCGACATTTTGCATTGGCTGTATATTTGCAAGGGTACAATCCAATCAAATCAATTGAATGACATAAATGATAAAAGGAAGGTGGACATTTCAGTCACGAAGACGAAGTTTGCAAAAGCTTGACAATGTGTAGATACGTATTTATATGTCACGATAGTCCTGTATTGCTTGTATCTATTAGAAAAAGATCCGAATTAACGAAGTACGTTCTGCGATATTGGCAATATCTTACTTTATATTGAAATTGAATCAGTAATTCAATGCACATTTTATTTAAATGGAACAAAATAATGGAAAATTTACAGCGAAGTTAAACTGATATATTTACGTTTTAGTGTCAAACGCACTTGAACATCTTGAAAGGGTTTCACGATTACATTCTTTCCGTGACAGGCATTATAATTACATTATCAGTATTAGATTTTAAATAAGATAAATTTCAGTCTCAGTGTTAAATTGTAGTATTAGATTATGTCTAATGATCAATTTTGCAAAGCGTTCTTTGTGCATTTCATTTGTTTACTTACCAACTAACTTGTTTTGCTATGAAACCGATTAATGTCAATATACCCTTTCATAATCGGTCTTATACCAATACTAATTCAAAACTATTGGTGTCGATGAATACATTTTATTGCGTTCTACATAATCAAACATATTATTTTACATATTTACAAAAAGAAAACTCATAAAATGTAAAAATCAGAGCCATGTGGTCATCAGTCTCAAAAGATTAACAGATCGTTGCATTAATCCAATGAAATAGTGAAGCAACTATACCTGAAATACCCATTTAAGATCTAAATGGTCATTTCATATTATCTCAAGATCTCATAAACCACTTTAATATTAAGATTTGACTACGATATTCTCATGGTTGGATAATATTGTATGATATGGGTTTATGGGTACATTAATTATGTTTGTGAAGCATAGGTATGGATTTAAAGAAAAAGTATATTTCAGAGCAGGAGGATAATCTCAGTAGATACATAATCATTCTGATGGGTCTTTTAAGTTATTAGATGATTGTATTGATGAATAGAGTAAGTGGGTAAAGTATTCTTCATTTAAATTTGATGGAATGTTTGTTTATGGTCATTAAAATACATGTATACCCCTAGATAACATGGATATGTTGCGAAAGATAAAGGGTTATTAACATAAAGTGTGTTCTGGAACACCAGTCCCAATCGTCCCAAATGCTTGCATATATTATATTTTACAATCTTAATACTGGCTAAATTATTATTCACATCATTTTCTACAAAATATTATAAAATAGTCACAAATTATCACAAAAGTCGGAACACAATGGTTGAAACTAGGAACATAACTGTCAAAATAAAACCAGAACACATTATATTGGTACCAGCTGATATGAATGTATTATTCACACGACCCACAATACCCCAATGCCAATCAGAATCTGGACTCTCAAAATACCATGGACGCTTCTCTAATGTTTTTCCTATTACAATATCTGGGTAACCTATCGCAATATCCGCACATCCGTAAAATTGTTCTTGAGCACCACATCCGATACCTCCTTGTCCATTCTTACAAGTTCCCCAACTATTTCCAGAATTATATTTCCACTGAAAAACACAGGCGGTACACTTGACATCCTTGGGTAGCTTTAACTTGACAGTTACATTACCATTAGTGGTCGGAGCTGGAAACTGCGTTGTACCAGTATCAACAACCTCTAGAACATGGCTATCTAAACATTCCTGTGTAATATTTTTATATGGATTATCATTTGAGCACAATTTAAATTGGAAATAACCTTTATGAGTTGCTGTTAACTCAACCCTTGCTGTGATGACTTGTCCTACTTTATATTTCTTAACAATAATTCCATTGGCATATTTACCAGCGGGCTCATTGTGTCGAGGACCTTGCCAAGCATCACCACACAGACCACATTTTCCATCATTTTGTCCCCATTGAATCTGAAAGAGAAAGAAATTTTACGCTATATAAGGTTTTCAGAAAAGTTCCTTCGGGGTTTTCTGAAGGGAATTTGGTTCTTCTTTTGGAATAGAGGATGTAGCAATTATTACAAAAGTACAGACACGAGTATGACCATAGTATAGTATTATAGTTGTTATTATCAATTCTGTATATACATGTCTATTTGAGAACAGCGTTTGGTTTGAGACATGCATGTAAAAGTAGATAAACGGTCGGTTCAACCTTTTCATTCTGTGTATCTAATTTGCAATATACATTTTCTTAAAAGATCAAATATAGGTTCGGTATGATCTGATTTTAAAAAGTCAGGAGATTTAACAGCCATAAAAATGCACAGATCAGAAAGGATTTACCAAGTGTCCTTTTGTTTTCCATTTAAATGTTTGTCAAACATCACTGGCTCATTGTATTCAATTCTTAAAGTAAATATCAGGCGTTTACGAAGAAAACAAATTCGTGCGTTTTTGATAAAGGAATTTGTATGTTGGGACTGTCATGTCCGTCATAGGTCGTCAGATGTGATGATTTTCAGAAACTGTAATTCGATTTTTTTCTTCAAAACAGTTCTTTAATTTTAAGAGAGAAACGATAATTGAAAACTTCTATCTCTAGGCCTTGACGACACTATTCATTGATCATTTATATTAAAAAAAAAACTATGACTGAAATCATTATAAATAGTTCAAGCATTCAACCTTTCAAGTTATCTTTTAAATAACCAACATTGACCATTCCTTTGTGAACCCTAATAATCGTAGATAGTGGACAAAAGCCTAAAAAACAACAAAATTTCTTAATTAATTTCAATTTATTTTTAAATTTCAAGTTTACAATAATTCAAATGTGTTGATATTGCTTGTAGACACCAATTGAAATAAAAATCTATAATTCAATGTAATCTGTTATGCTAATATTTAATTTTCACACGCCTATTTAAGATCAGAGCATAGAGCGGAAATAACATGCACATCAAGATATACCCAACACTAATTTAGGAAATACATAGTCGTAATTTGCATATTGAAGGGTGTTGTGCAACATAAATTAACGATTTCAATGACAAATTTTCACTATTCATATCCTTCCCCTAACTTCCATAATGATGAGTCGGACAATAGAACATAATATCAACCGAAATAACCAATGAACTTAATTTTTTGGTTAGTTGAGAAAGGTTTCTATCGTTCCTCACATCACCCTGACTTCAGTAGTAGCCTACCATGGCAAACAGGCGGCAATTGCATCAGTGTCCGATGTGCTCAGGTAGACTAAATCTGATAATTGATCAGATTCGCGTGAATATAGTTGAACAATAAGTTACTCGCAGACTTAGACATTCAAAAGAAGACCTTAGATGAAAGCCAAGTTGCTTCATAAGAATAAATATATAAAGATAATCGCTTTTACAACCATATATCACGTTTATCTTGCTTGACAAATATCTTACCAAATGTATACACATTGATTCATTGTTACATGCAAAATAAGACGTTCTGCGGTATATTTATGCAAGAACACTGCCGTTTGAGGCGCCATACAAGTCTTTCCCACGGTTAGCAAATATTTTGCGTAGTGAAGACATCGATTCCCATTTCGCAAGAATTTTAATTATTTGGAATACAAATAGATGCCGATATACATTGGAGATATAAAAAGGATATTGTGAAAAGGTCTGCTATTTAAAATACATGCATGAACATCAAAACGGCAATAATAACGATTTGCTTTATAGAATATATTTCGTCCACAACTTTCAGATTGTCAATGTTGTTCAAATGTTTAAATTTGACCACTAGCTTTGGTTACGAAAAGATGGTTACAAAATATTTACAACATAATCATAAAGGGAAGTAACCAATGGTTAGCTCATGGATGGCTCAACCCTGTAAGTCTATTGTCGTAGAGAATTGACAAATGCATTTGGATGAAAATATTTTTCATTTAAGCCATTCAGAATATCTATATTAAAAATAAAATTCAATGGGACAGAGAAGTAAGTTACCTTCAAACGACTTCTTAGACGTACATATACACTTCGACAAATACAAATACATCTCAAAGAACATTGTAGGAAAATCTATTTTCATTGTGCTAAATGCATCTTTTGATAAAATATTTGCATATCTTTTTTAACGATTAAAAATACTTTAAATCATTCTTGTTTCGTTGTTTCTATACGCCTTGTTTAGTTAACTCCAAATTTAAACAAAATGCAAATTGTTGTACTCAAATAATCCGTATTCATAGGTCGTAAATTTGAGTAGTTTTTATTCTAAGTTAACATTTGACCTGTAGCACTATCGTGCAATATATAATGTTGACATGACAATTACAAAGATTTACAAGGTTTAACTAAAATTACAGGAGAGAAAGTAAGGAAATTTAACCTGAATTTGAAATGTTTCCTGAATATATATGTTATAGCATCATCTCACATATATGCCTTGGCTGGAATAGAAGATGACCATGGGAGTCACAATGAACTGACTCCTTTTAACCAAGTTTAAACATCTCAATTTTTTGGCACAGTAAAGTAGGATGTCAAGTAGAGCCGGTGTCTGAAGGCAGCATTAAGGTCTGTCACCAATATCAAATGAATAGTTGTGCATTTGTAAATATGCATTGAATGAATGCTTGTAAGGGTTAAGATACTCACAGAAAAATATTCAAAACGAAATATCTAGATCGATTCATATTATTTTGTTCTAAGTTACATATAGATCTGGTTTTCGTGGAAGGTTAAAAAGCCCATGTATATAGGATAAATAAATGAATACAAACAGGGCTAATGCTGGCCACCAACTCGCTGTTAAATCGTACAATTACTATACAGTTTAAGATAAATAATGTCTTCTTTGAATGAAAGTTATAACTAACTTGTCCTGTGGCAATACTATTATAGATAGAATATTTTTCTAGATATTTTATTGATGAATCATCATGTTGAAGAATTGTATCAATATTGTGATCAATTTTCCCATTTCCTCTATCAACTGAAAACTGTCGCAACTCATTCAACTATATCTTTGAACTTTCAGACCTTACAAATGGATTCAATACAGCACGCTACAATACTACACATTTCACAGATGCTTCCACAAATATTGATAACCCTGATGTCTGCTTAGGCTGTGCTAGATTTCTCACTAATTTTTCTATATTTTTAAAATAAATTCCACCATTTTGGTTGAACAAATATTGAATTCGAGCCCCTTAAGAAACATTGAAGGTCAGTTTCTACCCATTATGGGGAAAGCTTCAACCGGCAATAGCAATTTCAGAAGGATAAAAGATTTAAAATTTTCTCTGCTAGCAATTTCAAATGAAGGGAGGATTCAGAATTTTCTCAACAACAGCAATTTCAAAAGGGGGCAGATTCAGAATACTCTCAGCAATTTAATAGTCATTTCAAAAGGAGAGAGGATTAAAATTTTTCTCAGCTATCAATTTCACAACTAGGGAGGATTCAGTATCTTCTCAGCTCCAGCAATTTCAAAAGGAGAGAGGATTTAAATTTTCCTAGCAATGACAATTTCAAAATGAAGGACAATTCAGAATATTCTCTGCAATGGCAATTTTCTCATAAAAAAAATATCCAGTTATTTCAGTCGACATGTTTGATGTTCATTTTACTTGAGTTAATAACAATAATACCGAGCTATTGAAATAATATAGTCAATATTTACAGTGATAATAATAATCTCCATCTTTCCTTGTTCATCAAGCTCGTTCAAATTTGAATTTTCTGTTTTTTTACTAACAAAGGACGTTACTTCCTAATCAGTATGAAATAAAATAAAGTATTACGTCCAACTTTTCTGATCTAGTTTGGAATAATGAAGGAAGACGAGCAGCGACATGCAGTGTGCAATGAGTGGAATTTTGCCAGTGTCATTAACCTACCTACTCATATCATTTGAAGAACAAACCCAATACATGCACACCGTTCACATGGTCAGAGAACATACATGGTTAATAAATGGTCTTTCAGAAGTGTCATCAAAACAGTTGTATACTAGATAACTTCGACAAGTCGATAAAGTCGAGTCGAAACCATCTGATGAGGTAAACCGATAAACCTACGGAATTCAGTGAAGTAGAGATAAATTTGTTTCAAGACGTTCTATGAGGAGTCGACCAATTGATGCCTGTTGTTGATCAGCAGATTGTTAGATAGGCTGATGAAGGACCTACAGCAGAGCTTAGAGATTGAATAATTTATGGAGCATCAACAACTGAGATTAGGTTGAATTGATACTGAATATTGTCAAAAGTAAGCTGAAGCAAACTTGGACAATCACCAACAAAGATTAAGCTCAATCAATATTTGCGATTTAACAGTCCAGTATTCAAATTTAACTATTATCTGAGAAGACCAGCGCAAGTCAGGTCACAAAATATTATATTATTTTATCACAGAGTATTCTTTTATTTACAACATATACAAAATATTTGTCTAGACGTGGGCTTTAACATTATTTCCTCGCCAAAAATACATCCGAAAAGATGTTTTTCAACCCATAGGATGAAGTTTCCTAGTACTTGACCCAAAACTATACATGAGAATCTACTGTACTTTATAATGTTCACAAGTATATGACAGTAAATACAAGATTTCAGGTTGTAGAGTTTAGAAAGGCATTCAACCATCATCTAATCTTTAAAGGGAGTGTATCTTATATTTAACAAAATTTATATTCAAGGACTATAAGAGAAAAATATCGTGAAATATCTTGAGCGTAGTAACTACCGAACCTTATTACATCAATCTTTGAGAGTAATTCTGATGAAAGGTTATGTTTCAGAACAATAAAGAAGTATGGTCCCCAATCTGTTGCATTGTAACTTTATTGTCTAGTTTCAATCACCAGCTTAAAATTAAATAAAATTACTCTTGCTTCTTTGGTACTCGCAAAGATTTTGAATTTGAGAGACGGCCACTTTAAGTACGGTCTACATCCTGGTTTATAATTATATGTACATTTCTTTCTGACATATCTACCTAGATATTAACGTAATTACTTATATAATATAACACATTACCTGGGGCATATACTTATTGACATCATGTTAAGTTTTAATGAAATAATTTAACATGTAATTGAATTCAATCTTATTTTGTTCTATGAATCAAATTAATACCATGTTTCCTCTTCAGCAATTACGGAATTGTATAATGGAAAACCAGGTTTTGCCTTTCAATTGAAACTTGAATGGAACTATAGTTTCAAGATAGCAGTTTATTCATTTTTGTCCGATTTCGTCATGTTTGCATTGTGGGCGAAATGAAATTTTGTCCCGATACAGTTTTGCTCATTTCCCAATATCTAGACTAACTTCCTGGCTAATGAGATGGAATTTTTTGCTACCCTCTAAGCCAAATATGGATACATTCAGAAGAATTTCAACTCTCGGATATTTAAAGTTCCAGTTCGGCTTTCTGTATTTGGCAAGAATGAAAACTGTTAGAAGAGATTTAGATATTTTGATTTTTTTGCATCGATTTCTTAATGTCTTGATTTTTATACTACTATACTGAAAATGTTGTCATTTAAACAATCCCTGTCATTATTCATCAGAATGTAATGTTAAAAGCTTGTCAGTATGTTGATATGTTATGTCAAACCCATGTACCTGTCATTTTTTTAGTAATCTGATGCACTCTCAACACAAATCTTGAACTTTTAATAAGTAATTGTACACATTAAATGATGTTATCTGATAGCTTGTTACATGTGACAGTCGCAAATTGATTTAGACGAACGGATGAAGTTAATTGACGTTGTTTTTTAAGGCTATATTTTTGTTGTATTGAAGATTCTTTTAAACATTTTTCTTATTCCCTTCCTCATGAATTTGGAGATTGAAAAAGAATTTCTAATATGACCAGAAAGCCTCTACAAAGATTGCAATTTGTTTTAAATGGCATTTGCGATAGCGTGGACAGGAAATAGAAAAAGTACAATGAATAAGTTATATCGAAACTTAAAGCTCTTCATCCAAATGAAAAAATAACCATTTAAAAAATAAATAATAACATTGTACTGTACTAATATAAAAACTCTTCTCTTCTTCGATAGTAATAAACGTTTTAGTCATAAATTATCAGCACAACTAACGTATATATTTGGAAGACAGAATATGCTTTCAATCAAATAGATGGCTGTAGAGATGCTTACGAAGCATTCAATACTGAAGCAATCTTGAGAGAAAGCAGTTGCAGTTCACATTAACTCTCTGACATTAATCACGTTATTGGTTCCAATGCAAATAACAGTCTCAAACTTTGATCAATTACGCGTTAATATCGTCCTACCCTGCATCAAACTTTATGGGGTTCTATTAAAGATTATGATATACATAATAAGATCAAATTTGAAATGTTTGGCTAATCAGAACCCAATAAAACCACATGGTTTCCAAAATGCAATTAGCTGGAGAGATTAACTTACCGAAACACCGCCACAAAATAATTGATGGTCATCATAATTAGGTGGGTTTTTAAATCCAAATCTCCACATACTAGATCTTGATGGTGGATCTAACAATCTTCCATGACCATTGGCGCCATTTATCATAGCATATAACAACATAATCAAACAGACGACATTTTCTTCAAATACCACCATTTTGAAATTCACCCAAGAAAGGATCAACCGGTTAATTCAAATAATCCATAAAAATGCTGGGTATGATTTACCGTTGAAAGTTTTAAACGTTCTCGAATTTCACTTGATTTAGATATTCACCTTTGAAGGTACTCTTCTATATACACAATTTTCCTTGTAGCCTATAATATTATCCTTAAAGATGAAGTGCAAGTATCAAGTACCAGCAAGAATAATATTTCAAATCACAACAAATACAGATGTCTTTTAATTCATAACTAAATTAACTTTAATTCACTGGTCTTTTTAAAATAACAAAATTTCCACTCCTATTTATGCCTATGACTTCACTACAGTAAATACACAATGATAAGGTATGTTGTTAAGATAAATATAGTCTATCTATTTCTTCCTAGTCATCACCGGTTCGAATGCGAATTCGCTGACAGTATAGAGTCTGAGTCACGCTTAGTAAAACTACTCGTCAACGACTAAACCTGTATTACGAGATGACAAATTTTTGTAGATTAGTTGACTGCAGGCGAATATTTGATTTGTTCGGTAGTTCGTTTAAATAGGTAGACCAAACACGTCAAGTTCACACAGACCTGTGGACAGTCAGACAACAGAATATTGGTTTTACATGCAGTGTCATGAAATAGAGAATTTACATCCCGTTTCCATTATAGAGACATCTTCTATCACCATTCTCTTAGCTGATCATGGAAAATGGAAAATACCACGATAATTTCCCGGAATGGGCTCTAATTATAGCCATGAAATCTGGGTCCTACTCATGAAATAGGCTAAGGTATCGTCTTGACATATTTATTTAACATGCTGGTTCAGAACCTAACGGATGCTTCTGATTTTGATTAGTTATTGATTTTTAGATAGTTTAAAGAGGTTTAGTGTTTATATGTAGCAAGGAATGTGGAATAGAATTTGGAAGGTCGTAATAATCTTAGAGTTTTCACTGATCAGTTATCTTTTTATGCAATATGATGACACAAACCCAGTGAAGTATGAAATTAAAACTAAATGACTAGTAGAAGGAAGTAGATCACGTTTAACAATTTATCTAGAATTACAGCGGACAAGTACTGTGATTACAAATATTTGGTTTTTTAAATGGTAGTAAGTCCAGTGGCGGCGCCAACGGGGGTACAGGGAGGGATTGGGGCTTGTGTCTCCCCCCTTCCCCTAGAAAAATGGTTTGTACCCCACTTCATTTCTTGCAAATTTAAAAAGAATATGATTTCCGCTAGTTTTTGCCCCAAAATATGTGTCGGAATGAACCTAATTATTTCCATTTTTCAAAATATTTTTGAGGGCGAACCCAATCAGACGTTCATGTGGGTTTTGTGCTTCCCTATTTCCAATATCAACCTCGACAACTGTATCCCAAGTCGGTCTGCCCCTATTTGTACCCCCAGTCTCAGGAGGCTGACGACGTCACTGAGTATATCAAATCTAACCAGCAAAAAACAACATTGAAAGAGTTATATAATTGTGGATAATGTCACCGAGAACAATCGAACTCTATTTATCATTATTATTTTGTAACTTTAATTTCTTTTTCTGCTCTTGGAAAAGTGAGCTGTTATGAATCGTTATACGCCTGTTCTCCATTCTCAACCATTTTCAAATTTAAATCTTTTCAACCTGGTTTCCTCGTGACAGTAGGTGTGCTTTGAATTATATATAAAACTTGTTTCCATGACTAGTTTGCATAAATGTTGTCTGCTGGATAACACTGAGTTGCTTCCCTTCGATGCTAAATGTATATAATTTCATGTATTTGAAAAAACGTTATAAATTTTATACCTAGCATAGGTCGTATCGTAGAAAGATATTCCATTCGCCTCTTCTCCAAATAAAATATGTGGAACATCATAGATCGTCGTGGGATTTCCATGGACAGTTCTGTCAGATGGGTGTAGTGAGTAACTGCAAAAAAGGTATAAACGTTAGAATAGCTAGACCTTTTACCTTTTCTTTACCCGATTTGAAATATTGAAATAGGCGGTCAGCGTTGATTTAATAAACCATACGTCCAGTTTTTAAACTTTATTATAACATAACATAAAAAATCTAAAGTATATATAAAAATAGAATATTAATCAGTGAAAGGTAAATACAGATATTAACTAGCCTAGAAAGAAGTGAAATGCTATGTATAGAAATGTGTATTGAAAATGTTGTAACGGAAAACCATTAACAATTTTGTACAATTATTCTTGACCATAACTGCCACAAGAGAAAAATGCTAATTTGAATAACAAAACTGTAATATACAGATAAAAACAAGAACTGTAAAGAAACTCTATTGGTAAGATTTGGTCAATAAAGAGTTCTACCGCTAAACAGGCGTGGAAGTCCTCTAGTCTGCAGTTCTGTAGAATCTCTTCTATTTTGGATATTATTAAATATTGAAAACAACTTAATTCAAGGGCCAATTCCTAAAAATCAATCCAATAGAAAACGCCAAGCGACAATAGATTAAAAGAGCTAATTATCAGCAATACAGTGTTTGAAATATTTTGACAGTTTAAAGTGCGGTGTGTTTTCAGATCTTATATTTGCTCAGTCACAGATGTCATAAAAATCATCCGATCTTATTGATATCTTCATCATTTGTCAACAACTTAATTAGAGACCAACACCACCTCAATAACTCAGATGTCTTTGTCTCCTTTATTATTTGATGGCTCTCCTTTATTATTTGATGGCCATACATCGTCTAGCCTCGTAAGTATCAAGAGCTAATAAAGCACACCCAAGGTTCACTTGTTTCTTTTATAATGTGCATGTAGCCTGATGTGTTCTAATTGAAGTTAATGCGGATCATTGTGTAAGTGTTAAATTGTAGTTGCGGCTTTAGAGAGAGTTTACCGTTGATGTGAGGACCTCATGCTGGCCTATATCTAGCTACATCATCTATTTTTCTATTGTTAGATGACAATAATTGTTGACAAGAATGAGACTTAACCTGGTCGGATGCTATTAATGCAATCAGCTTTTGACTGGGAGATTTTCTGCATTTTGAACATATAAATTGCTTCGTGTTCATGCCATTTTATTTGTGATATATGGTTGCTTTGATCTTGAACTGGGCTGTTGCTCGAGAAAGCCGCTCTGCAGTTTCATCCATAGATTATAGTAATAAAGATTAGCGTAAGGGATTAAGTGGAAAGTATTATACTAATATGTCAAGAAATTTTAGTACTTCAGATTCTTTCATAAAGATTCAATATAGTTTGTTACAAATGGGCTTTTCCTAACGGAAAAGTCATTCTGACAAAAGGATGTCATTGTGTAAGTGCCAAGTCTCGATTTCACAATATTGGAAGTACATCCTGGCGATATCATCTTAGAGTTTTGTTGAATATTTTCAGAAATAACTATTCTGCTTGTCAATTTATACAAATGATGTTATGAGAAAAGGTTGAATATACTTTTGGTCGGTAAAATTAAAAACAAAAACCTTTACCAGCCAGTATATCATGTCTACACCTTTTCAATGAACACAGGAAACTCTGTTAAGTGTGAAGGTTGTACAGTGAATATCAGTTTTGGTGATCTGGTACGGTAAGGTCTGGGAATAGAACTCATAAAATAAAACCTTGCGTGACGCCAACTCGTTCCTCTTATTATGGGAAATTTGATTAAAATTCTTTCGGTTTATCGGTCCAATATCTCAGATTTCATCTTCAACAAATTGAAAGCTTTCAATAGAGGTAACAATACGGACTCTTAGTTAACCTATCTTTATCTTGTCTAGCCCACGACACTTTGTTTAGTTCAATAACGTCGCCTGGCCCATAACAACAAAATAGATACAATATTTCTATAGTTTGTTACGAAATCATTTGAAAAGATCGGTGTAACGGAACCGAGTGCATCTGCTCGTATCATAACCTTATTGATGAAAATCACTCTAAACTATCTCAATTCATTCACTTAGAGCAAACAAAACACCTCATTGAAAATGTTGCAACTTTTATCGCGGTGTTGAGAATCAGCGAGTTAATATCTTTATATCGTATCTGATTTCCGTTCTACTGCTGTACCGAATTTAAAACAGAATGGTGGATTTTATCTTTGATGTTCAACAGAATGAATGTGACTAAATCTTCCGTAGTAACACATTATATCAATATGAATACTATCTATTTATGATCTACAGTATACTTAGTCTAGGGAGATTTACAAGTTAGCTGTTTATCTGTTTCAGCAAACAACTTCATAATGGCCACAACAGACACGTATTTTTCAAATGAAATGAAATGAGTTTCACGTCCTATTTTTCTGCACCGTGTGGGCTAATGAAGGCGGGTAACACCATGTTGTGTGCAATAAGAGAAATATTTCAAGGACAGCTGTAATATCTTGATCTTTTTCAATTTCAATCCACCGAGGTCCGAGGTTCCCTCTGAACGATAAGACGCCTTTTCCATGTCAGCCCCGCCTGACAGGGGGAAACCAAATTGAAAAATTCGAAGGTTTTATCTCTACCTATCAAACCTCCGTGCACTGAACCCTGGATCTTCACTGAGCCTCTGCGACTCCCAAATTCTTCAATGATTTCATCAATTTGTTACAAGCCTACAGATTATTACACCATGCGGAACGAATTTTTAATTCATACGCAATAAACCGATCATATATTAAAGTGATACTACGTCTTAGAATGAACATAAAAGTTCTCGAAATGGTCAATATGAGTATATATATATTCGTCAGTTAGTTTACCTGGTGTCATAAAGTTACAACAGAATCACTGTAAATCTAGAAAATTGGAAAACTCATAAAACTAAGTAATTATTGAAAAACACTTTTAGAATCTTAATATTAAGCGTTTTTCAATATTTAATTGCATTTTTATTAAGTTTTTTTGGTTTTATCGGATTATATAAGGATCCTGTTATTTTATTTATGACAACAGGTATATCTACTGATGAATATATGCTCTTATTGGTCACGTTTAA